TGCATGGCGCGGTCACCCACGGGATCGGAGGCGGTCATAATGGAGGCGAAGAGCTCCTCGTACTGGTTGTACTCGTCATCAGGGGCGCCTCCATCGCCGCCCGGTTCCGTGCTGCTGGTCATGCGGCGCACCTGGCGGGAGATGCGCCTGGCTCGCGGCTCCTCCTCCGCCAGGCCGTTGGCCTCCATGATGCGCTGCCGCTGCACCTGGATGTGCTGCCACAGGGCGACGGCGTCCTGGTGCTCGCAGCTGTCCGGTTTGTAGAAGGCCTTCGCGTTGCCCACGAGCAGCTCCAAATCGGCCATCAGATCGTCCAGGTCGTCGTACGAGTCCGTCTTCAGTTTCTGCTGCACCTTGAGCAGGTCGATGGGATTGACGACCACGTCGTAGTAGGAGGGCTCCTGGCGGCGCTTCGGGGCCCGGATGAAGGTGTCGCACAGCATGGAGCCGTCCTCCTTCTTGATATTCCTGATCGAGTCGTACAACTGCTGGCAGAGTTCCGTGGGATCGAGGCGGCGCTTTTTTCGCGCCGATTGTGTCGTCGTCTGCTGCACCGGCGACTGCTCCGGCGTCGAGTCGTCCAGCTGCAGCGGATCCTCGTCCTGCCGGCTGGAGATGCTGCTCGCCCGGCGCTTGCGGCTCAGCATCGTGTTTTCCCTGCTTTTAATTCACTTTAAATCAAAAATTCGACAATAAGACGCCACCAAAAATGCCACAAAAAGGTCTAGAGATGTGCGAAAAACGAGAGGTGGGCAAAGTGTGCGATACTATCTGTATGAAACATCGGCTGGATTGCCATCTCTATGGTGGTGAGCTATCGTATTCGGATGGGCGTGGTGAAAATATCATTTAAAATTCTGAGCACATTTTGTAAATATTTATTTCTATTTATTTTTTTACTCGAAGTCGTAGCAAAAAAATAATATTCCGGTCAAATTAAGATGGTTATTAAATTTACCATCTTTGACAGTCGATTTTATTTAATAGGATGAAGATTACTTCCAAAACCGCCAAACAAAATTTAAAATAATTAAAAATTTTACTTTTAACCAACAAAAAAATTAAGAAAAAATTGCCTTTCAAAACGTGCAAAGTTGTACTTTGTTCCTCCAAAGCCATTCCCAAGATATACTTATTTTAAGTTGAGATTCCATTCTTCTCTCAAGTTGTAAGTCAAAACAAACAAAGTAGATTTACTTATACTCTTTATTTATCCTTATAGCTCCATTAATCATTTATTTATAGACATTAAATCACAGCATTATCGTAGGTAGATTCGGTCAAAACTCCAGTTCCAAGGAAAAAGACATTCAAGCCAACAGGAACAGCGAGGTCAGGCTGAAATAAAAGTGAAACGAAACCGTAGTTCAATAAAACGGCAGCTCAATTCAAGCGCAATTAAAAAGCCATGACATGTCGGTTAATTTAGTAAAATGCTTTGTTTATTATATCTTGTATCACATAAGTTTTAGACGCTTGTAAGTGTGTGATTGTGTGAATATTGGGTTACAGGTTTGAGTATGCGGTAAAATGAAATGAAGGCGCCTCAGTCGATGCGCTGCTTAAGGAACATTGTTAAAATCTTATAAAAATAACTCAAAACTACACGGATAAATAGCGAAAAACATGTATGAAATGGAATTCAACACTTGACTCTGAACGACAAGAAATTGAGTGAAGAAATACACTAAACTCTAGCCTACGTCTACTGCAAACGGCTGACTGCGGCTTATGTTGCACTAGAACATTTTCTATTTACACGTTATACTGGATTTTTCTGCAAATACATATAGCTTGGTAGCAACACTTTGATATGCCGGTCGGCCAAGGACTCTGTATAAAGTACAACAATTAAGCACAACAGTTAACAGCGCAACATTTAAATATTAGTATCAGTTCTGCACAACTATACGTGATCATATAACATATGTAAAGGTATATTATATAGTTCCAGCTGCCCATCTCCCATCTTTTGCATATTTCTCTCAACAGTTCATTTCGTTTGCCTTGCGACTAGCGGTGGTATTGCGACTGCGACTGCGCTTAAGACTAAGATTACGATACTTGGTATAGAAACTAGTGAGGCTCTTTCGCAGCGGCTCGACAAGGCGTCGGTGTACGCAGTACGCGTTGTCGTGTCGCTTGCGCCAATATCAGTTGATGAAGCTCATGTAGTTAGTAAAGAGCACATAATTCTCCACTAACCGGGCTCTCAGCTCCCGGCGCACAGTAGCCGTGAATTTGTTGGCCAGACAGAGGGCCGTCGTGGTGCCAAAGACCAGATTGTAGAGCAGCACAATCTGGAAGTTGCCCAGCCACTCGATGGCCCCGAAGTCGCCCAGCAGGTCAAAGTTTGTGATGCCTGAAAGGAAAGAAAACATGGGGTTTAAAATATGTATGTAATTAGCAGTTAGGCAGTACTACCTATGATCCTGCTGAGCAGCGGCAGCGCCGAGGACAAAACCAGCATGAAGCCACAGTTGAGCATTAACTGGGGCAGCGAAGTCTGGCGACGCTTGGGACAGACGTTGCGCATGAAGGGCATGCTGTAGAAGCCCACCACCGAGGTGGCTCCTAAATAGAAGATTAGACACACCTCCAGGCCGGCGCCAAAGGGTCCCAGCTTCGAGAGTGACGAGATGCCCAGCGTAAATTGCTAAATAAAAAGAAGAAATTGAATAATCAAGCCATTATCTTTACTTCGAATTCAATTAAACCCACCCTTGTGCTCAGTGGAAGCGCCTTGATGCCTATTAACAGCTCCAGCGTGTTCTGCACCACCAGCAGAATGGTGACTCCCGTGCAGAACAGCAGCAGCAGCATGGCCAGCGGATAGACGAAGGTGCGTTGAAACGTGCTCGACTTGCGCAGCTTGTCCAGTTCCTTGCGCTCGGAGTCCAATTCTCTCAGTCGATCGTTGAGCTCGCCCACATCGCTGGCCATCGCCTTGCGCTGGTAGAGATGGGCCTGCGACTGCCGCAGGAGCGGCTGCGGGAAGAAGGTGCGGCCCCGGCCCAATCCGATCCCGTTGCCCAGGCGACCTCCGTTGGCCGCGTCCGAGATGCTCACGTTGTGCAGCTCGATGTGGGCCAGCTTCCGCTTCACGCTCGCCTCCTCCATGTAGAAGGCGCTGAACTCCTCGTTGACGTCGCGCAGCAGCATGGGCCGCACCAGCACCTGGTTAACAACGCCAAACAGACGCACAAAACCGTAGGGGGTGCAAACTGCAAGAAAACAAGAGGGTTGTCTTGGTTACTAAACAGTTAATATTTGTTGAAACTAACTCTATTGTTGTTATAAAAAATAGGAAGAACTACGAGACAGTTTAGGGAGATATAAAATCCAATAAATATAATTGGTGTATTAAAAATAACACTAGTTTACAAAATAATATTCTTGGTGTGCTCCCCAGCAATTGATGGCAAATTCTGTTAGTGTTGGACCCCTAGATCACAAAAATAGCAATTATTTTTTTTTCGATGGCACAGTTTTTTTTTAAAGATTTTTTAAAGTTCGAAATGTTAAATTTCGGACTTTTTTCGAATTTCTTCTTATATCTCGGCAGATATCCACTTGGTTGAGCCAGTTTTAGTTTTATTTTAAAGTCAATAGATCAGAGCTTAACTTTGCCATACAGATCAATATGATTGGATGAGTAATGGCAGCGCAGAAGCTTGACAAAGATGAAAAATGTGTTTTTTGGTCGTCTGTAAGTCGGCTGTATATATCGTAAAAACTCGAAATAAATCCGTTGAAAAATCATAATGGGTACAAACTTAAAGTGTACATCCTACCGAATAGAACAAGCTGGATATGGCCCAAATCCATGGAAAACTGGATTTATGGTGGATTTTTAAAGTTCGGATTTTTCCACTTTTTTCGGTTGACAGAGTCCAAATTTAAGATTTATCATAGGCGGCGACATGTAAACAAAAATAATTGGTGTTGGCAGCCGGGTCACTAAATAGCTAAATCAGATATTTAAAAGCTAGAAAATTATTAAAGTGAATTTAATTTTTGAAATTAAGGTTACTTTTTTCATAAGAATGAACTATCCAAATGGATAGTACTTAATTAAAAATACTCGCAGTCATAACGCAAGCAATTTTATATTTTTAAAGGAATTTTCAGAAATTAAATTTATTTTATAATTTTCTAGCTTTTAAATTTAGCTATTTTTTGACCCGGCTGCCGTCACCACTCATTTTTGTTTACATGTCGCCGCCTATGATAAATCTTAAATTTGGACTCTGTCAACCAAAAAAAGTGGAAAAATCCGAACTTTAAAAATCCACCATAAATCCAGTTTTCCATGGATTTGGGCCATATCCAGCTTGTTCTATTCGGTAGGATGTACACTTTAAGTTTGTACCCATTATGATTTTTCAACGGATTTATTTCGAGTTTTTACGATATATACAGCCGACTTACAGACGACCAAAAAACACATTTTTCATCTTTGTCAAGCTTCTGCGCTGCCATTACTCATCCAATCATATTAATCTGTATGGCAAAGTTAAGCTCTGATCTATTGACTTTAAAATAAAACTAAAACTGGCTCAACCAAGTGGATATCTGCCGAGATATAAGAAGAAATTCGAAAAAAGTCCGAAATTTAACATTTTAAACTTTAAAAAATCTTTTAAAAAAAACTGTGCCATCGAAAAAAAAATTAGTGCTATTTTCGTGATCTAGGGGTCCAACACTAACAGAATTTGCCATCAATTGCTGGGGAGCATTTCGGCTGTAAACTAGTGTAATAGATTGGAAATTGCAAGCAAACAAGAGGGTTGTCCTGGTTACTACACAGATAACATTCGTTGAAACTAACTCTATTGTTATAAAAAGAACTAGGAAGAACTAATAAACAGTTTAGTGAAATATAAAGTCCAATAAATATAATTTCTGTATTTAAAAATAATACATTGCTCATTTTGGAAACATAAATTCGTTTTCTAGAACATCCCAGTAAACATAGAACTTGAAGTCTGATCTCAGCACTCGAAACATAGTTACTCAAGTCAGTTGCTCAACTATATTTGTTCCGTTCAAAACCTTAAAATGTCTGGTGAGGAAGGCAAAGACGTAGCCCAGCTGAAGGCGACTCTAGCGAATTGCAATTTGAACCCCAAGGACGGGGATGACTTTGCCGAATTCGAGGCCACTCTTGCAAAGATTGATAGCATCTTAAAAAACGAACCCACTAAAGATGACTCAGACACGGAGAAAAAAACCAAGGAAAAGGTCAATTTCGACAACCTGGATGTGGATAATGTGCGTCTTAAGGTACGCGAAAATCGCACGGTAATCAATAGAAAGAAATCTATAGATGAAGACAATGAGAAGCAGACCAAGGCCATGGACCAGCAGAGCTTCATGGAGCAGGTGGAACGAGATGCCAACGATCGTGCAGAGGCTCGTGCCAAAGCAGAGTACGAGGCAGAGCAAAGCAGAGCGTAAGAAAAGTGTCTTCTTTAAATGATATCTCTTACTAAAACCTATTTCCAGTCAGGGAAATGAAGCTTTTCGTAATCAAAAGTACGAGAAAGCAGTTCTGCACTACGGCAAGGCCATAATAAAGGTCAAGGATAGCGCTATTACATATAACAATCGCGCCCTGTGCTACATCAAGTGAGTTATAAACCTTCCTATATCATATTTCTATTAAAAATCCTACTATAAATTGCTTTCAGACTAAAGAACTACAAGCGTGCTATTCAGGACTGCCAGTACGTGCTGGAGAAACTGCAGGAGACCAATCTACGTGCCTGGCTCTACCAGGCCAATGCCTACAAGTGCCTGAAACAGGACGACAAGTTCGAGGAGAGCGTGGCCAAGGCACGTGAGCATAATCCCAGCCAGCTGGCCTACATTGACAAGTACATCAAGCAGTTGGAAGCCGAAGTTTAAACCTAAAAGCATTATAATTAGTTCATAAACATTATAATACTCACTTAGCATTAACATCACGCCCAAAAAGGAGACACACGAATAAAGGAACGGCAGGTGAACACTGCCTAAATCTGTGAAGCATAAAGAGCGGAAATTAGAAATGCATTGTTTGCAGCCCAGAACCTATCCTAATTGGGGGATGGGCTCGTCACGGGTGCGGAATCGCGATTGACATTGATATTGAGCTCTTCCGCACCCGTGCATTAACATATAATCATTTACTCACTTAGGAACCAGAAGAATTGAAGCTTTTCAATGCCAAAAACTGCACTTAGGACGGCGGTTAGCACGAGGACAATAACGGCCATCAGCATGAATACTGTGAAGGTTTCGTAGACTCGCGGCAGAATGCCCTTCTTGTAGCCCACGAAGCCCGTGGATTCCGAGAACAGGTAAACGAATGGCAGGAAGATGAACAGTGACAGATTGGAGAACAGAAATACATGGTTCCAAAGGCCTGAAAAAAGTTAACAAAAATGAATTAATTAGATGCGTTTCATAGGTGGGAAATAAAGCCCTGCATGAATGGATTCAATTAATTATTTTGAATTTTTCGTTTAATTTGAATGAATTAATTAGAATTTTGAGTTTAATAGAATTGAATGAATGAATGGCATGAATTCCAAAATAATTCAAACGACAATTTCTTTTGAAGAAGAAAGGCCCATCATTTGGTGATTAAATCTGCCTGAATTTTATTTACTAAGCAGTTAACATTGATTTGTTAATAGTTTTCCACTTTTTATTCTCAACAGAGAGCACAAAAAAATTCTAGCAAATTCAAAAAATTCATAAAAATTATTCATTCATTCATTCAATTCGAAATGAATTAGAAAAACATTCAATTTATTTCACATTGAATTGAATTCAACAAATCAGAAATTTAATGGCATACTGTGATAAAACAAAAATTGAATGATTCACGCAGGGCTCTAGTGGGAAATAAAGTTAGTAATACTAGGACTTACCCTGTATAAGTGAACTATTGAGCCACTTCACATAGTAGCTGTTGGGATACAAGAGCAGCACCTCGTTGCTGGCGATGGAAACGGGCAGCAGCATGGCGGCCCCTTCGGCAACGGCCAGTGTGAATGTGCAGAGCCAAAAGCTGTGGGTTTACATGGAAATACAGAGAAAAAGAAACATTTATCACTGCGAATGCAACTCGAGTGACTCGGCAATTAGCAGCCCAGGTTGTTGACCACTCAAATGCCTTACCTTATCCGATAGACCAGCACCTCGTCCTCGTCATTCGAATAGAGATCGTCACGGTCGCGACGCCGAAAACGTGATACAACCACATAGGAGCTGAAGTACAGCAAGATGATCAGTAGCAGAAAAATCTGAAAAGAACAACATAACTTGAGTTAGTAAAGAAAAAGCTTTACGTTTTACTTATCCGAGATGCAATCTTCAAGTTGAAGATGAACACCTGCATATACATATTTACTTCACGTTTGCATCAAAGATATTTCTTCATTTACTTAGCTGCCCTTTTGAAATGAAACCCAAGTAAATATAGACGCATTTGTCTTATTTTCTGTTTTAAAAGTTTCTCAATTCTTTAGCAATAGAATTTAATTCAATTTCGTACACCTGCAGCTGATGCTTTGTTTTATTTTTTAAACCGTTTCATAACACATTTCCCCACATTTACTTGTGTTTAAACAAATGTCAAAAAGTAAACATAGACACCCACGCATTTCTTTTGTTTTGTTTTATAAATATTTGTCTTTCTGGTTGCCGCCAACTGTGTGCACATTGGCCAAAAACATTTTCAGCAGAGTAAATCTAAGAAAATCGGAATTAATCTAGCCCTCTAACTTATGAACATGATTCAATTAAGTGTCAAAGTCGGGAAGTTCAAGTGTTTCAGGGTCTTATCTGCGACAATATTGACACCATGATTTGAAACTATTGTCTGTAGACGGCAAGGGTACATATGTTTTCGATTTCCGGTTGAAGGTATTTATACCCGTTACTCGTAGAGTAAAAGGGTATATTAGATTCGTGCAAAAGTATGTAACAGGTAGAAGGAAGCGTTTCCGACCCCATAAAGTATATATATTCTTGATCAGGATCACTAGCCGAGTCGATCTAGCCATGTCCGTCTGTCCGTCTGTCCGTCTGTCTGTCCGTCTGTCCGTCTGTCCGTCTGTCTGTCTGTATGAACGCTGAGATCTCGGAAACTATAAAAGCTAGAAGATTGACATTTTGCATGCAGATTCTAGGAGTTCCTACGCAGCGCAAGTTTGTTTCAAAAGGGTGCCACGCCCCCTCTAACGCCCACAATCGCTTATATACGATTTTAAAAGTTTCAATATTTTGGAAAAGTAAAAATGCAGTTTTATTGTGTTTATCAATACCTATCGAAATGTAGAAGAAATTTTTTAAATCGGACCATTCGTTAAAAAGTTACGGCGGATCAAAGTTTTTCTCCATCTCCTTCGCACTCCCTTTAGCTGAGTAACGGGTATCTGATAGTCGGGGCACCCGACTATAGCGTTCTCTCTTGTTTTTTTAAAATAGGTTCTACGAGTTCTTATCTAATTAAGAACATGACTCTTCAGGATAGTACCTAGTACAACCCTATATCACCATAAACAAATGGCCAATCGATGATTAATTATGACCGCCAATTAAGCCCATATAGCTACTTTTCGTCTGCGTTCAAAGGTCAGAAAGGAAAGCTTATCAGTGGCCGACGACAAAACCCGAAACATTTGATAAGAACTACACCGATAGCGGTCATTTAGGGCCCAATGAATGTCAGCACTTCAAACACTATGTTAAATGAAATCCAAGTAGCTGCGAAATCTGAATCTTCATCGGCTTTTTTGCAAACATTGGACCCACCAAACCGTTGGTCATCTATATTTATGACCACGAAATAGATGCCAATCAGACGGCACACGTCATATTTACGCTTTTGTGGGTATGCGAAAAACGAAAACAAAACAAAGGGTAAATAGATACGAAAACACACACAGTTCTAGGCACACAAATAAATCATTAACGAAAGATACTTTTCATGTTCTGGCTGGCAAAAACGTAAAAAATTCGCAGAGCGAGCAAAAAACAATTAATTTATACTCACGTCCCTGCATTGTTTAGTTATTCTTTGTTTGCTATTCGAGATACTCTTACTTGTATCTGTGAGATACTCCTAAGCGTTATACAACGCGAATTTCAATTAACTTTTTTAACTTCTTTCCGCCTGCGTTTGATCAGATCAATTAAATCAAATTATCTTTAATTAATCGCGGCACTCGCAATTTAGGACTCCAATCTTTCATCTTGCCATTTTAAGTGGCCTTCTTCGAGCTCTACTTAATTCTACAGTCAATATTTGAACAGTTTTCTTTGCAAGTCGACAAAAAAATATGGTCAAATATTAAAAATAAAATATTGAGACGTAAATCGCTTGCTATCAACAGAGTGCGTCGTTTATTTATAGAAGCCGAGTGTAGATCATGGAAAAATGTAGATACAGCTGAAGTCAAAACTATAAGGTTATAGGGAAACTATCTTTAAATACTATTTAATAAATAAAATCTTAATATTTTTTAAGGTTTTAACTTGAAATTAATTTGTTACAGTGGTATTGGTAATATATCAACTATCTTTCAGTTATGAAACGCACTGTATTTCATAGCTGTGACGTGTTGAACTTGGAACACGTAGGCGACGAATACCAAGTGATATGCGCATCTTTCCCGCGGCTTTTATATAGTATGTACATCAAGCATTCCTCAATGAAAAACAAATTGAGTTAGCGATCTTCAAGCTTGGTTTAGTGCCTGTCAGCCGGGAAAACGTGCAAGTGCACTCTGCAACAAGCGGCATTTGTCACGCTCCAAACGATTATGATTTGGGTTTGGCCAAACTAAGCGATCTCTTGCCTCGGAATTAGCTGCACTGCGATCGTAGGCGAGCAGCGAGAGTCAATGACTTGACATGAACTCGAGGGGGAAACAAGACGCCCATTGAATGTGGCTAAAAATAGCGGCAACGCCCAAAATGCAGCCAGAAGCAGGCGAAAACGGCGACAGCGTGGCCAAAAGGAGGGGGGAGGACTGCCAGTCGGACGGGTTTTGCCTTGTTTTGTAGACAACTTTGCCGGTGAATGGGCGACAAAATATTTCTACTTTTTCTATACCCAATAGTTGTGATGAGTAGGGGTATGTATGATATTCTGAGTGATATGATATGATATTCTGCAAGTTCCAGCTTTCTTAATTTTGTGAAATATATTTATAAATATTCACATATAAATTTCACATAATGTTATAATCTTTTTCAATAAAAACTGTGAACAAGCTTCTACAAAAAACTCTTAAGGTATTAAATGTCCCAATTGTTTTAATTACCCCTAGCGAAATGTGTTTTCTAATGAGGGCGTTGGGAAATAGGGGACATTAACTGCATATCTACTTGGCTTCAGTTAAGAATTTCTTCATCAGGTTTTTTCCTCTTATCATTAGCTTGAAAATGACTAAGAACATACAGTCTAGTGTTACACAACCAGTTCCCATTTTCAAGTGTTTCTTTCTGTTCTCGAGTCAGAACCTCCCTTGGCTATGATTAGTGGTTTCAATTTGGGTTTGGCTCTAGATTCCTGAATTATGTATGAGTGCTTTGGCTTGTTTACATTTATATATTATTTGGATTCCCATTGGGGCGGGGTCCCAAACGTCACGTACTCCGGGCGGTTGACCCACATTCGACGACGAATTATTCAATTTCGGCAGTGCGATGCAACAAGAACCGCCGACGATAACCGGTTTCCATTTCCTGGACCAGGCAGAACCTGATCAACAGTTCTGCAGACCCATCCACCATTTACCATCTAAATGAAATATGTATTTATAGAGGGAAGAGTCACAAAAAACAACCTGCATGTGTATTGTATCTATGCAAGTTTATTCAAACCATTTCAAATGTATTTAACGCCTCGTCTGCCATTGTTTAAACAAATCCAACAGCTGGTCACGACAGCAGACACTTTCAAAGTCCCAGACGGAACCAAATCGTGACCACTAGCCGTGCACTTGAAATCTGGCCTGCAAGTGTGGACTATTTAACGAAATTTTCACAAAAGGAAATTAATGCCTTGCGCAATGCCATAAACATGTATAATTATGTACAAATGTGTTTCGCTCTGTTGTTGTTTACATAAATCTCTGATTTCTGTTATTACACGCCCCAAAATTTCTATAAATAGGGGCTCGAGTGAAACACTTTCACTTGTTGCTTTTGCCGTTGCTGCCTTTGTTTCAAGCGTTTAATTTTGATTTGTAAGATTTGTTAATGTAAGTTCTGCCAAGTGAACTTTTCTGACTGTATTGCAATCTATGGAAATTAAATGGAGTTTATTGTTTATCTTATCGATTTCTTTAACTTCTAGGAACCTTCCATTCTCCATATACCAAATCTAAACATTTTACCAAGAATATAATAGGCTATTCGAGAAACCATAAAAAAAAGGAATGATTATAAATATTTTTAAATGCAATAACGGCTAGATTTAGAGTCTATTAACTGAATTTAATTGTTTTTAAAAACGATGTAAATGGTTTTGTAATTAAGTTGCCTAATATCGTAACAACAGTTTAACAATGATTAAATCCATTACATTTAATAATGATTACATAAATTAAATTAATTCATCGTTTGGCAACCAAGTATTTTGGTGCAATGAGTTTAATATAGTAATTTAAGATCAGTCGAATCCTTTTTATAGATACAATTAATACTTTTACCAAGTATCGGACAGTCGAATCTTCGATTAGGTTTAAACTTTCCGATTAACAACAGGTGTCCGTGTGGCTATCTTTTCGTGTGTCTGCGTGATAATTTTCGCAGCCGAAATAGAAAGTGCAAGAAAAGAAGAGAGTGGCTGGTCGCTATCGCCGCCACTTCCTCCCCCGATAAATATATATATGACTTGTATATATGTGTAAAACCCAAACGCAGGCGCCGAGAATGCTGACTAGTGTAGTCCGAAACCGATAACAGAATCATAAACAAATAAATTTCTGTGGACGTCCCAACTGATTTCTGTTTATCAAGAGGCAAAGTGTGTGTAATTTCAGAAGTCGCACGCATTCTACCCCGCAGCCACATGTACAGTTAGAACAACAACATCAATAAGAACAATAGGGGCAGCTGCGCCCCGATTTGTTGTTGTTTTCGCTCGGCCAGTGGGGTGGGAAGTTGGGTGGAAAGGGGATGAAGGTAGAAACACTTACAATGTGCTCGCGTACTGTATTGTGGAATAACTGCAGCTTCAGATCCGTGACCTCCTCCTCCTCCTCCTCGTCCATGCCCACGAAAAAGGTGGACAATTTATCGCTGGTAGCCAGTTTTCCTCGTTTCTTTCTAAATCACGCTTCACTTAAAAATTTAACATCTATTTTTGACAGTCGCCAGGCTTGGGGAATTCCTATGGGCAGCCTCAGTTTTCGAGTAAATAGAACGCTCCAGGGGGCTTGTATCCTGAATTAAGGCCTTCGTGGCGCCACTCTGCCCGATTTCACACGGTAATTGTGATTAATTTAGTCAACTACTGGCCGCCGCATTTCGTTTCGTCCCGATTTGTTTGCACTTGCCACCACTTTTCTACAGATATTCGCGCCGATTTGCGACCGAAGCGTTAAAAAAATTTCTATAAAATAGAGGTGGAGAAACAGCGATGAAAACTTCGATGCATCGATGTTTAAAATTATCTAGAAACATCGATGTTTTTTGCCACAATCGATGTTTTTGTCCCATCACCAAGAAACGTAAGTGTCAAAACGTAAGCAACAGGGGGATTCCCTAAACTGTTGAATTGCTGAATTGTTGAATTTTGGTCAGCTGTTAATCAGCTGTTCCATACAAAGTCAACTTTCAGAAATTTCAGCAATTCAACAGCCTCGGGGCTGCTGAAAATTTTGTTGAATTGCTGAAAAGCCAGAGTTGTCACCTTTTTTAAAAGTCGTGGCAACTCTGTAACATTTCAGTATCACCAGTACGAATTATTTATTTTAAAATAAACTTAGAAAGCATATTTGTGGTTCTTTTTACCTTGGTAACATTTTTAGACAGTTACTAGCAATAATAAATCAAATTTTACATGCTTTAAGTTCCGTGAAATTTTTCAACAAATAACAGCTGTTTGAAAATTCAACAGGAACCATTTTGGGTCGTTCCCTTAATTGCTGAAATTTTTTGTTGAATTTTCAACAATTCAGCAATTCAACAGTTTAGGGAATCCCCCTAGCAATTCAACAGTTTAGGGAATCCCCCTAACGTAAGGGTATGTTATACGTAACCTCTGCTAGTGGTGGAGCAATGGCGATATATCGATAAGAACTAACTATTGTTATTAAATATTTAAATTATTTAAAAGTAAGAGAATATAAATTACATTAACGAAACTAGATTATTATTATTTCAATTATACTTTATTACAAAAACATATTTTAAAAATATCGCCAATAAAGTTACACATTGTCTGGCAACCTTAACCTTATCAGCTGTTACTATACAAAAATGTCCAATTTGCGGCGCCAGGTAAAATAACACAAAAAATCATAAATAAATAGGTAATACTTTCGGTTTTTAGGTGCTCACTGCTTTCAAGAAGCTACATCGCACACGGCAATACGTGTTCCAAGGGGATCAGAATGCCCTGACAGCAGGACGACTAAAAATCAATGAGTCTTTCCTGCAGAATCGCAGCGAAACCAACGAGGATGAGATTCAAAAGGTTTGCTTCGACTTATAGGTTCCTTGGATGTTTCTTATAAATGCGTATCTTGCAGATGATCAAACTGGCGCAGGACGTGGACCTGGAGCTGCGTACAAATGTAATCCAGGCGGAGAAGAAGGAGGACGGTGTTTATGGTGGGTCATAAGCATTACATAAACGAGCGCTCCACACTCAAATATGGGTATATTTCATTTCCAGAACTAAGGATCACGCCGGAGACAACGCGGCTGGACAATGTGGTCTTCAATCCCGATGCAGTCATCGAGAAACCGCGCAGGCGACGCGGCGAAAAGAACACGGAAGGCTGCTGCGGAGGAGCTGCGATGGCGGCTCTAGAATCCGAGGTGCAGGCTCGCAACAAATAGAACTATTATAAATTTCTTAACTTTAGTCAATATCGTTTTGTTCTGATCAAGAATGTCGTTTATCTTTATTTCCTATGATGTTTCTTTTTTGACTTGTGACTGCTCTTCGATTTGGCCTTCTTCTGCTTGGAGTTCTTGCTTTTTTTACGCTTGCTGCGCTCGTCCGATGATGAGCTGTCCTCGGAACTTTCGGAAGATGTGGAGTCCGAATCGCTGTCGGATTCCGAGGAACTTTCGCTGGAGTCTGAACTAGTGCTAGCTGCACGTTTAGATTTCTTCTTGTCTGGCTTTTTGCTCTTTTCCACCGAAAGTTTTCTCTTCCTCTCGGGACTCTTTTGTCGGCTTGAGTTTCTATCCAGTCTGCGGTCATCTCGATCCCTCGATTGCTGTCTGTGAAAAGGTTAAATTGTGAGTTTCTGGACATGATTTAAAGATTTTAGAACACATACCTTCGCTCTGCAGATCTCTTATGGCTTCTGTCTGATTCTTTATATGGGGCTCTTCCATTTTCGTTGCGCCTTCTTTCTTCATTGCGATCTCTGGATTGAGGTGGCCTTCTTTCTATTGGCTCTCTGGACCTCGAACGCCTCCTTTCCATTTGATCCCTTGGCCTTTGCTCCCTTGATCTCGAGCGTCTCCTATCTGTTTGATTTCTAGTCCTAGAAGGCCTCCTTTCTAATCGATCCCTCGACCTAGAACGTCTTCTTTGTGGCGAATCCCTCTTCCTCTCTCGATCATTGAAACGCTTTCGATCTGTGCTCTCCCTGACTTGTCTATTGTCGGGATCTCTGGACCTAGAGCGTCGTCGATCCTTTTGCTCCCTTGATCTTGAGCGTCTTCGCACATTCTTTCGATCATCTCTCTCGTTCTGTTCCTGGTGACGCTGCTCCCTCGCCTTCCGTCGCTCTGCAGAGCTCATCCTGCTCCTAGGATCCTCCGACCTTTTGCGATCCCTGTGGTCCTCGGGTTTTCCCCGGCCATTGTTGGGTTTTCTCCGATCCGTGTTGTCTCTCAAATTGTCAAAGTCCAGCTTGCCTTCGTCGCCCACAATGCCTCGTCCTTTGCCCCGCCAGGTGACCTTCGAAACGGACTGAGAGAAGTCCACATGGATGCGTCGATCGTCGATCAGGACATTGTCCATTTTAAAGTAGGCAGCCTCACAAGACTTCTGGTCCTCGAACTCCACGAAGGCATACTGCAGTGAGTCGCCCGTCTTGCGATCGCGAATCACTTCGCATCCCTTGACGACGCCAAAGCGACTGAAGATGATCTCCAGATCATCGTCGGTGGTAACAGGATTGAGTTTGCACACGAACAGTACGTTTTCCGGCGGGGCCATGTCTGCATCTGGGAGATCGCCGACAATCTCAAGGATCGTTGCTCGCGCCTTGGCCTCCCGTTCGGCCATCATCTCCTGCAGCTCCTCCATGGTCATGCCGTCCGTGTCGTCGATGTCCTCGTCGGCAGCAATGCGGCCGTTCTTCAGGCGCTCGGCGCTGGGCGACGGCGAGCGAGTGGGAGCCTGAAGGCCGCGCGGATTGGGAAAGGGATCCTCGAGCACCACGGTGTGCGTGATGCGGATATCCTGGTACGGGCGGAAGTTATCGTCCACAATGGCGTCGTTCAGCTTGCGCAGCACCTCGTGACCCTCCACCACCTCACCGATGACGCAGTGGCTCCCATCCAGCGACGAAAGGTTCTCGCCCAGCGTGAAGAAGAACTGCGAGCCCACCAGATTCTTGCCGGCACTGACCAGCGAAAGCATTCCGGCGCTGGAGTGGTGAATCCGCGGCAGGTACTCCGCCTCGAAAAAGCGCTTGTGCATGCCCTCCACCACGCCCCAAATGGAGGAGCCGCCGTCTCCGGCGCCACTGGGATCGCCGGTCTGGGCGATGAAGCCCTGCTGCACCGTGTGGAAGAGATTGAAGTTGTAGTACTTCAGCCGGCACAGCTTCAGGAAGTTCATGCAGGCGATGGGCCGCTCGCTGGTGAACAGGTCGACGGTCAGGTCGCCCAGTGTGGTTTCTATCACCACCGACATGGCGAGGATTCACAAAAACCACAAAAACCGGCAATAATCAGTAGATAAAAACACAAACACGAAATCGGCCTTTAGAGATGGCACCAAATGAGTTTCTAGAGATGGGAGAACTTTAGAGATGTACCGCTAACAGTTGTGGTCAAAAAATAGCTAGAATCAACTAATTTAAAAAAGTTAAAAAAAATCATTTAATAGCCTCTTCCCATAGAGTCCATCCGTTTGAAACGGTTGGGATTTTTGACGAATGTGAAACTCGTGTTCCCACAGAATAATTTAATTTAATTTAAGTTAATTTAGTTAATTTAACTATGGTCATATTATACTTAAATAAACATAAATTAAGATACTGTGCTATTACTATAGTTTACTACGATTCACTACGGTTTACTACGATTTACTATGGTTTACTACGGTTTACTACAATTTACTACGATTTACTACGGATTACTACGATTAACTACGGTTTACTACGGTTTACTACGATTTACTACGATTAACTACGGTTTACTACAATTTACTACGATTTACTACGGTTTACTACGATTAACTACGATTTACTCCGGTTTACTACGATTTATTACGATTTACTCCGGTTTACTACGATTTACTCCGGTTTACTACGATTTACTACGATATACTACGGTTTACTACGTTCCATTTTCCACAGTCAAGAGGAATTCAGAGTTGCACTGAAAAAACATGGCCTAACTATCGCATAAAAGAGCCCGTCAAAGTCCGGCAAAATTGGATGGCGGACTAACTGGGAAATTTTTGGAACGGCAAAACCTTACGGACCATCCGTTCAACGGATGGTGGATGGAGCTCTGTGGGAAGACCCCATAAATATTACTTTCTTGCTTTAAATAACAGTTTGATTTTATTTATATATAAAAATAAAAAAACTCCGACATCATTCGATAGTCGGCAAACGATACTTCAAAAATACCCGACAGGGGGCCGCCATTTTCGATTGCCTCATTCGATAATTGTGTGTGTATCAGTGAGTTTGACAAGGAATTTTTCACACGTTTCGAGACGAAAGAAAAGAAAATTAATTTTTTCCGGAACTAAAAGGCAACCGCGTTCTAGTTAGGCAATCGAGAAGACCCAGTGATCGTTAAGAATACACAATGCCCGAGGCCGGAAAGAAAATCTCGGAGTTGCGCGTGTGCGACCTGAAAAGTGAACTGGAAAAACGCAAATTGGAGACGGTGGGCCCAAAGGCGGTGCTCATCGACCGTCTGGAAAAGGTAAGTTTACATGCACCCAAATCACGCTTCAGTTCCGCTGGCGGCAGAGATAGAAACGTAGTTGTGCAATTACTGGGACCGTGTGTAACCAAGCTCGGGGTGCTCCCATTCTCTAGTCGCTCAAGGGGGAGGGGTTGGACCCGGCCACCCACTTGATTGTGCCGGGCGCGAAGGCCAAGAAACCGTTCGCCATGCCCATAAAGGATCCCCAGTCGGATGTGCTCATCAAGGAGGAGCCCATCGATGCCGAGGAGGAGGAGGAGGTGGAGCAGCAGGAAGATTACGGAAACGGCAACGACTTTTCCCACCATGCCGACGACGATGGGCATGAGATCGACCAGGTGGGCGATGTGGACGATGAGTGCGTGATCCTAGATGACGACGATGAAGAGGAGGAGGATCAGGATCAGGAGTACGAGGATGAGCACCAGAATGGCGATGGCGAGGCCGAGGGAGACGCCCAGGAAGGGGAGACTGAAAACAATGGCGACGACGAGGCCATCAATGAGATCCACGGCGAGGAGGAGAACACCGGGGACACCGGAAACATGGACAACGACGAGTCCATCAATCTGACCATTGGCGAGGACGAGCAGAAGCTGCTCCACGACGAGGTAATTTCAATTGTACGCCCTTTAATTGATGCATTCTAATCCAATTTGTACTGTCTCAGGCCCCCGACGATAAGTCTATTAAATCTGGTGAGTTAACAAATTGTCACGGATCTAGTATACACATTCCCCTATACCAGGGGCGTAGCCAAGGGGGGGTTTTGACAGCTGAGCTGACCTTTCGGGTGAAATATTGTGTTAAAAAGTAGGCTACACCCCTCAACAAAATTCTGGCTACGCCACTGACCCAATCATATAACTTAAAGTCAAATTATCATAGTATTTTTATGCATGCATTCAATTAAAGCATTCTGGTTTTACAATCAAGATGCCTTTGTTTCCTAACTACGAATATTTTTACATTTTGGCTTTCGCTTCCGTCGTAGGAATTTATATTCACGATCAATCGGATATTTTAATTTAGGTTAAATAACGTTATTTCCTAAGCTTATGCTACAAATCTTCCTAGTTGATAGATTGATATACTAATATTAAGCGTAATGATTTACAGTGAAACCGGCCAACAAATCCGATAAGTCTAACTCAAAGGATGCCGAAAAGAAAAGTGACGAGAGCGCACGCTCAAAGAAAAGGGATGAGAAATCCTCTGACAAAAAGGACACTAGGTAGTGTACATCAACTTCTTCTCTAGCAGTACTTTTTCTTACTTTTATTATATTTCTAGTGATCAAAAGTCGTCTGGAAAGTCTTCGAATCCCAAGGATGATAAAGGTAATTTAAGTTACAGTTCTAGCATGATAAGTTCGGTGTGTTCGGAAGGTCTTGCGTTGGGAATGATCGGACCAAGCATGAACCCAGTTACGGTCGATAAACTTGACGAAAGTTGAGCTAAACCATTGAGGAACATGTATCTAAGATTGTGCAAGAGAGTGTGAATTTGGTTGGGACATGGACATGAGATGTGGACCTCGAAGGATGATTTTGTTTCGACGATGGACAGGCGACTCAACCATCCAGATCAGCAGCAGCAGTTAATCTAATAGTGTTTGTTCCAGTTTACTTCGATGGAGACTTCTTTACTACTCATGCAGCATAGATCCGGATGTTCTTCAATACGATTCTTCAAAAAGCTTATAAGCTAATACTATGCAAAGGGGAAATGGATACCCAACAGACGAACGTATATATCTCCGTCTTCGAGGAGGACGCTTTCCTTTGGCTCTGCTGGAAGTTGCAGACACTTATTCTTCTCGGCAGGTACCTCCTGCATTTGGATAACATCGCTCATTCCGATCCTGGCTATCTGAAAGGCATAGCTACTTTTCTGGAGGCAATGGATGGCTCCCCTTGGATGGCGTTTGGACTTTGGACCTTGAGCTTAAACCGCTCATTCTGGACCCCTTCAGCCAAAAGCGGACCAGCAACCCAATCAAATTCATACTCTCTTGGCTCCGTTAGGTGACGATTGTCGGTAATCTTGCGAATGTGCTCTAAACTCCAACATCTGCAGCAGCTACAAAATGTGTGCGTTCACAACATGCTTCCCTTAAAAAAAAAACGTATCATAAACAAAAAAAACAGTTAACCAGTTAAGCCCACTCAAAGCTCTGACCATATCTCTCTTCCAATATTATTATTTACATGGAACTTGCAGAGAAATCGACAGCAGCCGCAGGTGCCGCATCCTCCACTGCATCGAGTGCCGCTGGCAAGTCGGGATCCGGTTCGAGTGCTGGCAACGGTAGCGGTGCCAGCTCGAACAACAACAAGCAGGCGACGCTGTCGCGTAATCTCTGGGTTTCCGGGCTGTCCACTCTGACCCGTGCCAGCGACCTCAAGGCGATCTTCTCCAAGTTCGGCAAGGTGATTGGCGCCAAGGTGGTCACCAATACGCGCACTCCGGGCACCCGCTGCTACGGCTACGTGACCATGTCGTCCTCGGCGGACGCCTCGAGGTGCATCGAGAACCTGCACCGCACCGAGTTGCATGGACGCATCATTTCGGTGGAGCGCACCAAGAACGAGATTGGCGGCAGCCTGAACTCCAAGGAGGGCAAGGGCAAGACTTCGGGCGACGCTGGAGGCAAGAAGAAGGACGAGGAGGGCGCCAAGAAGTCCGGCGGCGGCAAGGGATCCAGCGATCCTGCAAGGGACGACAAGAAGGGCGGCGATGGAAATGGCGCCGACAACAAGTCCACCGGCGGCGATTCCAAGCGCGATGGCAAGGACGGCAACAGGGAGCGCAATCCACGGCGCATCGATGACAGGGGCAAGTCGTCGGCCAGCCAGGATAGGCCGCGCCACGATCGCGAGCGATCCGGCACTGGCGGCCACAAGGGGCCGGGCAGCCAGGACCACCGTTCCGGGCGCAATCCGCGCGACGTCGACCGCGAAATCCAGCAGCGCCAGCGGGAGCGCGAGCGCCGCCAGCGGGAGATGCTGTCCTACCAGAAGATTCGCGAGGAGCGCGAACGCCAGCGCCTGCGGGAGCGCGAGCGTGAGCTGCGTGAGGAGGAACGTCGTCGGCGGGAGGCGCGCGAGCGTCAGCGCATCGAGGAGGAGCGCCTGCAGGAGGAGCGGCGCAAGATCGCCGTCGAGCGGGAACGGCTCGAGCGCGAGAAGGCCGAGCTTCTGCGCATGGAGCGTGAGCGCCAGAAGCTGGAGCGAGAGAAAATCGAGCTGGAGCGCCTCGAGCTGAAGCGACAACAGATGAAGTATGCTAAAAAAAAAAAACCAAAACAGACCGTAATGCGTTGCACTTGTGCGAATGCAGAGACGACAACACAGATATACCAATCTATTTATTTTATACTCTCTCTCTCGGAAAGCATTTGTCCTTGTGATTAGTGTGTTAAGTTGCAGCCTCCACGTTGTTTCTTCAACTGAAATTGCTTTCAAGCGGAACATTGATAGGCAAATGCATCCTAGTCTAAAGTCTGAGTCTGATACCCTTACCTCCCCCTGAATATTAGCCGTTACCAGCATTACTAACTCAACTCTTTCGTCTCTTCCATCTTTCTTCCTCTCACTCTTGTCGATTTACTCGCACAGGATCATGGAGTCCCGCGAGGATCCTGGCAAGCGCGGGGTGAGCAAGCGCGCCGACGACCGCTACGGAGACGTTTCCGATCGCAAGCGTACTGCCATTTTTGATGCCCCACCGCCACCGAGATTCGACGCGAATCTAGTTACCTCCCGCAGGTAAGATTTATCCAAAAGAAGGTTAATTAAGATTACAATTTAATAAGAGGGTATTTAAATGTAATACCAACGTTCGGAAATTGACACACAAGTTAAAAACGTGAAAAATTGTATTTTACAGTGTGAGCAAAATTTTTGATTTTTGTTTTAAATACAAAAGTGTTAAAATGTGAAAAACAATTGTTAGTACACACATTTCACTTGTGTTTTTTACATTATGTGTTTTTAACACGACGTGTTTTTTACACACTGTGTAAATGAAAATTGCATTTCATTACACACATCTTTTACATTACATTTTTCAGTTCAACATACAATTCTGACACTTTAATGTCAAAAACTCATTGTGTTAAAAACACGCTGCGTAAAAAACACGTCATGTTAATAACACGTCGTGTAAATAACACTAATGACATGTGTGTGTTATTTATGTTTCTAACATATGTAGGATACAATAATTTTTTTTGACCTTAACACTTTGACATTTTACATGTTAATAACAAAAGTTTTTTACAGTGTGTGCTATGTGTACTACTTAAGTTAAAGCAACACCAATTCTGATACGAATATTTTTCTTTCACAGCACCTATGACAAGAAACACGATGACTACGGATCCTCGTCGACCACCAAGCGTGTGCTGGATGACTACTCCAGCTCCAACAAGCGCTTGGACTACTCTAACAAGCGCAACGACTATAGCGCCTCGTCCGGATCCAAGCGTGGTGCTGTCGACGACTATTCCGCCGTGCCCACCAAGCGCTCCAATGATTACAGCGGCTCCTCGTCCAGCAAGCGCGACGATTACAACAAGCGCGACGTGGAAGTGCGTCACCTGACTCTTTCGGGAACTGCCGGCGGCGGCGGCTCAGGCGGCTCGTATCTGCACAAGAACAACTCGGGCGGCGGAGCCGGATCCTATGTCCACAAGAACAACTCCAGCGGCACTGGCGGACGCTACAATGATTCAGATCGCACTAACACATCGAGCTACAGACGCGATGACTCCCACAGCCTGTAAATGATTCGAAAGCGTTATTAAAAGAGCCTTGAAGTTTTCTAACGTTAATTCTTTCTGACAATTATAGGGGCAACAAGCGCTATGACAACTCCAGCGGCGGCGGCGGCGGAGGCTATGGCAGCAGCTCGAACAGCGTTAACATCTGGGCCCCGTCATCCGGCGGCGGAAGCTCCCACCTGGGCAGCAGCGGTGGCGGCGGCAACCAGATAAAGTCGTACGGCAACAACGGCATGTCCTCGAATATCCACAGCACTAATTCGTGGCAGAAGTCGACTGCCGTCGATGACAACAGCTGGCGCCAGGTGCCCGGGCGCTTTGATCGCGGCTACAACGATCGTTCGACCGGCTACCAGGGCCAAAGTGGCGGCGGAGGTGCCGGTGGCATGTACGGTGCCAGCCGCCCCACCCAGGATCGCTATAGCGGACCGGTGTCGCGCTATTAGGGAACGTGCATTTCACCAGAGGCAATTCAAAACATGCATCCCCCCGCATCAAACATACCTTTTTAAGACCCCGAATGACCTTTCCCACAGCGCCTAGGAGCGCTGCTTCTACTCTAGTTCGCTTTAGTTGTAGATTTAACACTTAAAATTACATTTGGAAACCAATAAATGTATTACCAAAACATATGGCAAATATGCACATATTAATGGTATATTTGTAAGATTTATTTAAACTAAAGCTGCGGGTAGTCGCCTTCGTAGGAGGATATAAGTGGCGTGGTCGTGTCCACCAGCACCAAAACGCTGTGGGCTAAGGGATAGATGTCATGGACCTGGACGTAATACCCTCGGTCGCACTGCTCCTTCGAGGAATACAGACTGTGGGAGATGGTTACATGAATTGATATTTCATTTTAAGGCAGGGACCGTAAATAAAAGTTATTTGAGATTTTTATTTTAAAAAGACTACTGTGATATTTGGTTTTAAACGTCAAAAATAACGTTCAACAAATCTGAAAAGCTATTTAATTGTTATTTGTTCATGCCTATAAAGTGCATAAAAACCAGTTAAATTGTTGATGAAAACTTGTTAAAATCTCAGTAGGCCTTTTAAAATAACTGTTATTTAAGGTCCCTGTTTTGAGGAATAAATAACTTACGCCAGTATATCCACTGGTTCCAATATTAACTCGGACTTGTAAACCGAGGCCAGAAAGTTTGTGAACGCCGCCGTGTTGTTTCCCAGCTCCAGTTCGTTGTTGGGCGTGCAAACCTCCATTCCTAAGCCACCGTTGCTCGATCCAATCCCGGGCAGACCATTGCGAGTGCCCCAAACGGTGATGATATTGTCTTCCGAGGCGACAATGGTGCACTGGTCGCTGCAGTTTGCCTTCTGAAGGTGATAACTTAAGCGGAGAATCTCTATCAGCACTGTTTTCTACAAACCACAATATACCGGGACTTGACAGAATCCACCAGGGTGGGATGATCCACTGTGTTGCAGTGTCTGATTCCACGCTGACCCTCCGCATTTCGACCCATGGTGTAGACATAGCCGCCCTCCACCAGAAATACCGAGTGAGTGGATGAAAAACATGCCTGAATAACCTTATGAGGCAGTTGGACTTTTTTCTGTAGAGGAAGAGTTATAAAATGTGGGTAGATAATTATACCCGTTACTAGTAGAGTAAAAGGGTATATTGTATTCGTGCAAAAGTATGTAACAGGGAGAAGGAAGCGTTTCCGACCATATAAAGTATATATATTCTTGATCAGGATCAGGATTCTTAATCAGATCTCGGAAACTACAAAAGCTAGAAGGTTGAGATTTCCCACACATATTCTTGGGCTTCCTACGCATCGCAAGTTTATTTCAGCCTGGCACCACGCCCCCTCTAACGCCCACAATCGCCCACTAACGATTTTAAAATTTGTCTGGCGCCCACACCTCTAAAGATTTCCGAGAAGTATAAATGCAATTTTGTTGTGTATATTTAAACCTATCGAAATGTAGAAGACATTTTTCAAATCGGACCATTCATTAAAAAGTTAGGCGCAATCAAAATTGTATACATCCAACTCCATCGATGAGTGACGGGTATTAGATAGTCGGGGCACCAACCCGACTATAGCGTTCTCTCTTGTTTTATATTTGGTTACTTACAAAAGCAGTGATCTTCGAGGGACGTTGGAAACCAAGTTTATTGTAGTCATTGCTCCCACAGACATGGAGTTCTCCATTGGTAAACAGCACGGCGGAGGTATCGGGACCGCAGTAAATCTTTGATGGTTTGGTTTTCACATGCGACAGCAGAATCTTTTGAGGGAATTTCCTGTTAGAAAGATGTATGAGAAAGGATAAAGTTGAAAGTTCAGTGAGTACTCACTGTTGTTGCTGGTAGTTCCCAAGGCCAAGGGCTCCGCAAGTACTGGTGCCCCACACATACACCGCTCCCTCGCGGCTCAGGGCCAGAACGTGGTGGAGTCCGGCGGCCACCTGCTCCACCCGCACATCCGCCAGTCGAGCGACCAGCTTGGGGCTGTGGTAGTTGCGCTGCTCGTCCTGGCCCAAGGCCAGATGGGCATTGCTGCCGCAGCTGAGGAGACTGCCCGCCTGGGTGACCAGGATGGTGAATCCGTCGCCGGCACAGGCGCCCACCACATGGTAGTTGCGGACGCTCTCCATGCGACTGGGGTAGTGCTTCCAGGCCTCCAAAGCCGTAAGACCCAGCTGCCCGTGGGTTCCCTCGCCCCAGGCGTAGGCCGATCCGTCCTCGTTGACCACCACGAAGTGGGAGTCGGACATGGCCACGCCCACGATGACGGCCTTGGGCGGCAGCTGGATGGGCGCCATATTGAAGCAGTTGCCAAAGGCCTTCAGTTGGTAGAGCACGGATCTGCAGTAGTATACTTTTGGATTAGAGCGTCGGACTGGACGAACCCATTACCTCTTCTCGAGGATCTCGTGCGGCGCCGCCGTCTCTGCACTCATCAGCTGCTTCGTCTCGGTCTGGGCAGTGGGCAGTTCCAGCTCCATGGACACATTGCTGTGCGCGGTGGCGGGATCAGGAGCCTTCAGTTGGTTGCCACTGCTGCCTCCCACATCATCCTCATAGGAGTACCTGCGGGATAAATAATTAGGATTATAACCAGGGACCGTAAATAATTATTATTTGAGATTTTTATTTTAAAAAGACTACTGTGATATTTTTTTGTAAACGTCAAAAATAACGTTCTTTTTACTCTTGTCCACAAAGTATATGCATTTCAACAACTTTGGAAAGCAAATTAACTGTTATTTGTTCATGTCTATAAAGTTTAATTGTTGATTAAAATATGTAAAAACCTCAGTAGGCCTTTTAAAATAAAAATCTCAAATAATGATTATTTACGGTCCCTGATTATAACACATAAGTTTAAGTCTCTGACATACCCTTTGTTTTTTCCAAGGCTGCGGAAAATGAGCGGAATCCAATAGACCAAAACCTCGGAGGCGGTGGGTCGCCGGGCAGCCTCCACTTGTAGCAGATTGGACATAAGACTTCGCAGTCCCGAGGTGTAACCCGAGGGCACAGGAGTGTAGTTGCCTGCCATTATCTTGGTTACCAGTTCGGAGAGGTTGGAGGCAGCAAAGGTCTTCTTCAGACAGCACATCTCGCCTAGAATGCAGCCCAGGGCCCAAATGTCACTCTTGTTGTCGTACTCCTTGCCCTCACACTGGAAATTAATGGTATATGATAAATTAAAATGGTCTTTTATGCAGTAAATCTATTACCATCTCCGGACTGAAATAGTAGGGGGTTCCCAAAACAGTCTGGGCATGAATCTTGGTGTTCATTATTTTGGAAATGCCAAAGTCCCCGATCTTCACAATACCTCGTCTGTTGAGAAAGACATTCGCTGTCTTCAAGTCCCTAAAAAAAGCAGAATTCAAAAATGTAAATATCGTATTTTTTTAGTACTCTTCTTACCGATGCAGGATGTTTTCAAGTCCCTTAAAAAATCTTAATTCAAAATTGTAATCCTTTATACACATCCTTGAAATATTTTTAAATTTCGTTTTTTTTTTAGATTTTAAAAAAAATTTAAAATAGTATTTTTATACCCTTGCAGAGGGTATTATGATTTCAGTCAGAAGTTTGCAACGCAGTGAAGGAGACATTTCCGACCCCATAAAGTATATATATTCTTTATCAGCATCACAAGACGAGTCGATCTAGCCATGTCCGTCTGTCCGTCCGTCTGTCCGTCTGTCCGTCCGTTTCTACGCAAACTAGTCTCTCAGTTTTAAAGCTATCGGGATGAAACTTTCGTAAAAGTCGTATTTCTATTGCAGGTAGTATATATGTCGGAACCAACCGGATCGGACAACTATATCTTATAGCTCCCATAGGAAGGATCAAAAAAAAAAACGTAAAAAAATTCTAGCTCCGATGTTTTTTGAAATTTTACCTTCTACTCTTGGGAATATTTTTTTTTATATATTTTTAAATTTCGGTTTTTTTGTTTTTTAAATCGGATTACTATATCATATAGCTGCCATAGGAACGGTCGAAAAATTAAATGGAAATTCATGGGAAAAAAATTATATCTTTGTTGGTTTTTATTACATTCCCTTCTACTCTGGGATATGACTATTTTGAAATATTTCCGAATTTCGATTTTAATTTTTAAAAGATCGAACTACTATATCATATAGCTGTGATAGAAACGATCGAAAAATTAATGTGAAATAATACGAAATTTAACATTTTTGCGATTTGTAAATTAATAGAATGATCTGCAAGGGTATATAAGCTTCGGCAAGCCGAAGCTAGCTTCCTTTCTTGTTTAAAGTACTCTTCTTACCGATGCAGGATGTTTTCAAGTCCCTAAAAAATCGCAATTCAAAATTGTAATCCTTAATACACATCCTCGAAATATTTTCAAATTTCGTTTTTTTTTAGATTTCAAACAAAAATTTTTAAATTGTATTTTTTTAGTACTCTTTTAACCGATGCAGAATGTTTTCAAGTCCCTAAAAAAATCGCAATTCAAAATTGTAATCCTTAATACACATTCTCGAAATATTTTCAAATTTCGTTTTTTTTTTAGATTTAAAAAAAACAATTTTAAATTGTATTTTTTTAGTACTCTTTTTACCGATGCAGGATGTTTTCCGAGTGCATGTAGTTGATGGCGCTGGAGATCTGCTCAAAAACGGCTATTATATAGCGTTCCGGAAAATGCAGCTTGCCCTGTCTCTCGGCTATGATGTGGGCCAGAGTTCCTCCATCAGCATACTCCATCTCGATGAGCAGTGTGTTGTCCTTGATAAAGCTGCCTAGGTAGCTGACAATGTTCGGATGATGTAACTTCGAGAAGACGTCCACCTCGTTCATGGCCAAATCCCGACCAGGCGGAGTCAGTTCGCTGAGGTTGATCTGCTTGAAGACGATCTGATGGCCGTCGGACTTGCGTCGATACAGGATGGCAATGCCAAAGGATCCCTGGCCCACCACCCGCACCTTCTCGTAGTTGGCCAGTTCTGGACCTACCACACCCATGGCCGCCTCCCGCGGAACACTGAGCTGGAGGAGGTTCTCCTGTCGCGATGAGGGCACCTGGGCCTTGCTGCTGGACATGGCCTCCGCCAGGGAGGTACTAGCTGCTCCTGTGGTGCCGTCCGTAATGGTAAAAACGGTGGGCAGGACCCTGGTGCAGGTGGATTGCTTCCTGGGCGGAACCTGGCCCAAAGGTAACTGCAGCGAACTGGTGGTCAGCGTGGTGGCGTCGGTTATTCGACCGTTGAAAATGGGCAGGGAACTCGCCTTCTCGCGGAACTTCTTCATCTCCTTCGAGCGGACACAACCTGCGACTTGGACGTTCAATACCGAACCGTGTCCTATCTATTGTATAATTGTCCTTTGGCATGTTCGAACCGAAGTTGTGGTCAAAGCGGTTGCTAGGTAAAGTGGGTGATATGCCGACTGGGTGGACGTGAGCTACGTTATCAGTGGGTTTGCTAATTGGACAACCTCCAGCGGGGGATATTATCAAAAGCAATTGGAACGGAAATAGGAACAATATTTGCAGGGACACAATTCCGAATAATCGATGTTAAATTCTGGGATAAGGTTGGAGGGAGGAAATCAAAATAAATAAGTCATTAAGTCATATTTGTAGAACATTGGGCATTTAGAAATGGTTATTAGGATTCGAGTTAACCAGAAATAAAAAATCACCTGTTCTTAAGAGCTTTAATAATCTGTTTTCAACTAGATTTTGGCTCCCCCCAATAAATAAAGTCATCACCTTTTTTTCTTATGAGTATAAATGTATTTAGCATTAGATTATAATTATAATTATTGGAATCGAGACAATATGCATGTATAATCGACCGTTATGTATTTGCAGGAATATGCTAAAATATTTATGCTATCTTCTCTTGGACTAAGTGTACCTTAAAATGCACAATCTGAACGCTTTACATATGTAGAATGCAATGCAGGCAGCCCCTCAACTGGTTTGCATATAAAACGTGGCCTATTCACGAACTTGGCTACAATGCTACAATGCTCAATAGCTTTGGACAACTTGTTCAGGTTTTGCGGTTTGCGGTTGCGATCGCATCGTAATCCATCGATGAGTATTTAGCAGGTGCAGCGATTCTCGCCGGAAAGACTGCCGAGACTGAAGGTTCCGAGGCCATTGGAGCCAGGTGATTTCTTGTCTTTGCTCTCGTCGTTGTCAAAATTGTCTCCCTGTGGGATAAATGGAAAATTAAATAATAGATATTATATATGATGGGTTGATTTTTATGAACAAACATTGCAAGTTCAGAAAAAAATGTCATAAAATTGTTTATAGATCAAGTTTTTCTCCAAAAAATTTGATATCATAATCAACCCATCCTGGTATTTATATATATTAAATTACTCACCCGCCGCTCTCTTTGTTCTCGAATTTTGCGGGCCAGTGACAGAAATGCATCCTCGATATTTATGTTCGACTTGCACGACACCTCAAAGAAGGGCATATCAAAGTTTTCGGCAATCTGGAAGGGATTACGGGTGTCACTGGTGGTCATTTATGGACTGGTAACTAACCTTTTCGCCCCTTTCCTTGTCCACCATGCGCTGGGTGGCGGAGCACTCGCATTTGTTGCCCGCCAGCACCTTGACCACGTCCGGTGAGGCGTTCTCCTGGATGTTGCGCAACCAGTAGGACAGATTGTTGTAGCTCTCCAGATTGGTCACGTCGTACATGAGCAGGATGCCCATGGCACCTCGATAGTACGCCGTGGTCAGTGTCCGGAATCTCTCCTGGCCTGCCGTGTCCCAGATTTGGAGTTTTATGGGCACGCCATCGAGGTTAATCAGCTTCTGCTTGAAGTCTATGCCTGGGGGAAGATAAAATAATGGGATGATAGTGGGATGTTACACATATACATATGGAGGCTTACAGCTGGGGCTAAAATAATAGTTCAGTAGGAGATAGCATCTTCGGCGAGGATATAAAAGGAAGTTAAGGATATTGTATTTTTTCAAATTGAAGGTAACTGTTATTAAGTCAATTAAATACATTTAAAATATTAGGACTATAAAGACTATATTTTATCAATTGTCTATTTTACAAAATGTATTTATAGTTCGATATCCATGGAAAAAAATTAAGGATCCCTTTAAATTGTTACCAAGTCTAAATTATTCACAAAAGAATTAAATACATTTATAATATATATGGACTATTAAGACTACATTTTATCAATTGTCTATTTTACAAAATGTATTTATAGTTCGGTATCCATGGAAAAAAATTAAGGATCCCTTCAAATTGTTACCAAGTCTAAATTATTGACAAAAGAATGCAAAAGAATTAAATACATTTAGAATATTTTTACTATAAGACTAAATTTTATAATTGTGTATTTCACAAAATGTTCTTATAGATTGGTATCCATAGGAAAATAATAAGGATTTCTCTAAGTTGTAATAAAGTCTAAATTATTCACAAAATACTATTTAAAGTTACTGAACTTTAACTTTAATTAAGTCTCAAAATGTTATTATTTCGGGTGCTGCTGTGCGCAGATTGGGACCACTTACCTATGGTGGAGATGTATGTGTCGTAGTACTTCTCGTCGCAATATCTGTGGACGATGCAGGTCTTGCCCACATTGGAGTCGCCCAGCACCAGAACCTTATAGGTGGCCACAAAGTCCAGGGCCATGTTGATATAGCTGGCGGATTTCGATAGGAATAGTAATACTAACTGCGGAGGTTTTCGGTTACAGATGGGCTGGCGTTGTTGTTACTGGTGGTTGGGTAGTGCAGTTGGTGGTGGTGGTTCGGTTTTTGGCTCCGAGGGGTTGCAGCGGGCTGCAGCTTGTTTATGTATCCGCTGGCCTGGCTGTTTGTTGCTGCTCGCAGCTGTTCCACCTCCAATTGCAGCGGCGTCACACGGATTTGTTGTAAATTTTCACACTTTCCACAACAAAAACAATGCGGGACTCATGCTAATTGACAAGCTGCTTCTGGCATAATTCGTACGATTTAACCTTTATTTGATTTGTATTTTAATGTAATATATAAGTGGTGTTAGGTGTGCATAGTGTGCCACTTTGGAGGCGGAGTCGAATTACGCCGTTCGCGTGAATCAACCTCGAAGCACTGACGGCGAAACAAACCAGCCCGTGGATGCGGAGTGGAGTCAACTAATCAATAGACCTGCGCAGGCGCAGCAACAGCATTCGGCTGCCGAGTAATCGAAATCGAAATTCAAATCGAGGCTGCTCGCGGGCAATCCCTAGCTGCTTATCAATAGTAATAATATTAAACATAGGTGTACACAATAGATATGGAGTTACATGTTCAAAAATAGACTTGTTCCTTGCTTAACTTAGTGCGGTTGGGTAGGAAGAGGAGGAGGAGGTCGAATCCCGCGCCGCTTACATCACAAAGACCTTTTCGACCTTGGGGTTGGAGAACTTGGTATTGGTCACCGGACAGGTCACGGTGCCGTCGTCTTTGGTGATGTCCGGCAGGGCCATCTGGCCAAATATCTGACCGTTGGGCAGCATCATCGGCTGATTGTGCTCGTTCAGCGGCAGTCCCGTCACCCGGCAGATGAGGCGGCTCTGCACGCAGTGCGAGTATGGCAACTTGAGGGCGATGCGGTTGAGATCCTCCTGGCAGACGGGGCAGTTGAGGTTGCGGCAGGTCTGCGCGTAGCAGTGGGGCGTCTTCAGGGCCGACAGCCCGGCCTGCACGGCCGCAGAGAAGACTGAGGTGCTGGACAGCTGGAACAGGCGGTAGTTCTCGTGGCGAAAGTCCAGCACCAGCTTCTGCCAGCGCTGCGGATCCATGTACTTGCGGTAGTGGTCGGCCTGGGCGTCGGCCGGATAGGCCAGCAGGGCCATCACATGGCAGATCTCGTTGAGCTGCGTCTTCTCGTAGGCGGGGAAGTAGCGGCGCGAATGCTTCACTGCTTCGAAGCGCTGATTCTGGCGCACCAGCTCGATGAACTCCTGCACCCGCAGGCTGAACTCAATGGTCGAGTTGATCTTGCGCAGCTTGGACTTATTGTCGATGCACCAGAGCACGCACTTGGTGGTGCTGTGGCTGGCCAGGTCGTCCTCCACCTCGCGCGACGTCTGGAAGATGTCCAGGTTGGTCAGATGGCGCACATCGGACTTGGCGGCCAGCTCCTCGGCCGTTTCGTAGTAGCCCATGCGCAGCAGGTGCTCGATGACCAGGCGGTCCAGTCGGATGCGCTTCCACTGGTCCACGGATCCCTGCCACAGGTCGCCAGTCACGCTGTTCGGCGGCGTGATGCCCTTCAGGTGGTCCAGCTTGCGCTTGCAGATCTGTGTGACGCTCAGCTCGTCGTTGATGCTCTCCTCGGCCTTGCGCTTCAGGACCTGCAGCTTCTGGGCCACGTTGTCCACCAGCTTGGTCACCTCGGCCAGAATGGGACCCTCCTCGGCCTCCAGGGCCTTCTCCACCTGACGCGATACGTTGGTCACCTGGTCCACCTCGCGGTCGATGATCTTCTGCGCCGAGCGGAAGCGCTTGTTCAGCATCTCGTATGGCACTTTCAGGGTGGCGTGCTCCAACGCCTTGATCTCCGACATTTTCGCTTTTGGGGGTGCGATGCAAATGGGTTTTATCCTCTGGTTTGAGACGCAATTGCGTTTTCTTCTCTTTCCTTTCCTTGCTTTGTTTTGCTTTTGTGGGTTTGAGGTTGCCAGATTGCCGGCAGTCAGCTTATCGAGCGGACAGAGCAGTCAAGTTGGCCTGTTTTCCCGCTAAATACTACATTTCTAATTACATTTTTTGAAACTTACTGTGTTATATAAAAAATTTACAAGTTAAAAAAATTCAGTTTATTTCTTTAATTTTACTCCTTGTTTTTAAAAATGTTTTTAATAGTACTTCTCATGAAATATATCAATAATTAGGTGTACTTTCCCGCTAAAGTTTCTCCGACGTACTGGCAACTCTGAACTGTTAGCGTATAACAGCTGATAGACGCCCAGTAAACATAAACAAATGTTAGAAGGACTCAAAAAGTAAAAAGTTTTAACAAAATATAAAATTATTCTATTTCCCAGTCCCCAATACATTATTTAAAGTGTCCGTAATAACAAAGGACTTACCTAAACGATTATAGAAGTAAACTTAACAAAGTAAGTAATCCCAACGTTTCACTTGTAACAATAGTTTACTCATCCTAATTTAAAACTAAATCCAGATGGTTAAAGCAATTACTAGAGTGAAGAGGGAAACCCCAAATGCAAGGACTAAAGGGACCAAGGATAGCTCGAAGCGCTATCGCGAGAAAATGAAAGAGGATCCGATCAAGTTTAAGGAATATCGCGCCAGAGAGGCGGAAAGGAGCAGGATATATCGCCAGAATATAAAGGAAGTAGTCACCAAAAACAAGAAGGCTCTAAAAACAAGGAGAGAAATCGATCGAGTAAGACAGCAAAAATATCGGGAGAAAAAGAAGGAAGAACTCGCAAATCAAAAGTCAAAGGAAGAAATGTTGAAGAAAGTTGAACGGGCACTGCCAGCAAAAATGTCCCTAAAGATTGAAGTCATTAAAATATTATATAGCAAATATGTTGAGCCTGAAAGTCCTAAAACTAGTTTGAGCAAAAATGTTGAGCCTGAAAGTCCTGAAACTATTTTATGCAAAAATTTTGACCCTGAAAGTCCTGAAACTATTTTAAGCAAAAATGTTGAGCCTGAAAGTCCGGAAACTATTTTAAGCACATAATGTCTCTCAAATTATATTCTTAAGAATTCAAATATTTTTAAGTTTCTTGTGGCCTGTTTAATGTTACGATGGAATACTTAAGAACTTAACAAATAAATCTCTCATAATATTAAAACTAAAAAAGTTGTTTATTGTCCTTATCACGATTATTAGGGACAGTAACTTTCCACGTTTTCAAATTAATAATATTAGATATTGGTACTAAGGGAAATATGTAAGCGTTTAACTTTCAAAGTTCTTAGAACTCTACGTGGATGATTCATATTGGATGTAAACAAATCGGCTCACTCTAACTTATTGTAATTAGTATTAGGCTGGGTTGGAGTTCGAGTGTTGACCTAATGTACTCTGCCATGTAATTAATACGTCTGCGCGAAGGAAAAGTAATCACGAATCCATGCAAAATTGCATAGAATTAACCTCCTTTTATGGTACATTGACTTTCGGCAACGTTTAAGTCGCTCTGATAATTAGTCATAGATTAGGTAGGCCCAGGTTCTGCGCACAAGTGTAGGTGAGAAAATTGAAAATCCATGAAAACCTGACCCATGCCATGGTCGCGATGTTGGGGCTTTGGCTTTGGTAAGTAATTTTTCATTCCCGTGAACGGAAGTTACTCATTTAGAGTAAATTCGGGACACGTGCCGCGATAAAACGCGAAAACAAACAAATAAACATTTTGTTGGAACTTATGACCCGGATAAAGCTTATGGAAGGTGGAACTGGCCAGCTTATAATGTTGTGGGTAACTATGAATAATTTTTCATTTAAATTAAAAACCCTGGAAATCTAGCTTCTATTATCAAGAAACTTGCTACTTTCGAGAAATCTTACAGATCGAAGGAAGGTACTCAAGGTACTCCTTAAGGTTTTCCAACCCCAAACTGACTCACATAATCATTAAAAACCCATTGCATTCGTCTCCTTCGCAGACCGACAGTGATTATTCGCAAAAGGTCAGGCATTTACATTGAGATTGCCCTAATGACAAACAATTGAAAATTGCATGTCCGGCCAGGAAGTTCTAGCGGGACTCGACGCCCAAGAAGGACCGGTTTGGAAAAAATTGCATTTTAATAATACAACCAGTGAGAACGCGATTAAATTCAGGCACTTTTTAATTTGAATTCCAATTAAGTAATGTCACTCAAGTCGACTGACTTACACACTACCTGGCCACCTTTTTTCCCAGATCCCGCGACAAGTTCAGTGCTCTTGGGGGACACAAAAAACGGAGTTAGAATAACTTAGTGAGGTGCATTTAAATTGCCATGGTTTTTGTGGTGTCAAGTAGATTCCCGTGGAGAACCCGCCCTAGGAAAAGGGGGCTCAGCACTCAATCTAATTGTGGGTCAGTTCGGGAGGTGCAATTTTTGGAGGGGCCCAACCAACTAAAGCTCGGACAAAAAGCCGAATGGGAGCCGAGCGTTTTGGTGATGTCATGGATTGCGTGCAGCGGAGCCGTCATCAATGGTCTTCTCTAGGACTCGCCACTTGGGCAATTTTGTTGTAGAAGTTTTTGGCGCTTTTGGGCTACCATAAGAAATGGTCGTAACCCATAATCAGTGCGGTTTAATCGTGTTCCACCCGCGGGGAACCCACATACCTCCGTCCAAAGCCAGAGGGCATCTCCATCTCCCCACTGACCACCACATTGCTTCGCTGGGCTGCATTGATTTTTTTCCTGGGTTTTCGGCTTTTATGGTCTCCATCTAGAACTTTCACTTTTGATGTGCGTAAATTTGCATATTTGTCGGACGTTATACAGGGTGTGTGTGCACTGCCCTTCCCTTTCTCCTGAGCTCTGGGTGAGTAATGAATAACGTCCGATGATGATGACGCCTTGGTTAATGAGTTTTTGCTTTCGCCTTTAGATAGGTCATTGAAATCGTCATGTTTTTACCAAAATTAAATGGGCAGACGTTGAATTTTGTTGCTAAATATACCAGCTAATGTATATTGCTGTACTCCTGTAGTGCTGCAATTTCATGGCACTTTTAAGGAGCTACTTGTTAGGAAGGTAAGTTAATAGCCTCATAAAAGGTATTTTACGATCACTAAGTTCATATGCATTTAAAAAGCTGTGTTCAAAAGGCGAGCTATTTTGGCAGCTATTGGATGCAATACAAGTAGAACAATTTTGAATATTTTTTTGGTTCTGTGATATATTTTTCTTAGTAAAACAGTAACAATAGATTTGATTACATTTCTTATAAATTGTATGAATCTACTGAAAATTTAAAATGTAAGTTTTAGGGATCCATTACACATTAAACCCCAATAGAATCGTATCAGTATAAAAATCCAAAAAAATTTTATTTTAATCGCTGGATCTTTTTTGGTTAATATCTTTAATTAAGATACTTTTTAATGTACAATTTAAAAAGGTCTCTTAAATTCATGGCAATTCTCAAGTGCTCTTAATAAGGCTATAATTATAATCCCCCGTGGGGATTCACAGCCTTAGGCAATGACGTCTTGACCACGCATGAGTTATTATAATAAGTTCGTGAGCTTTAGCATTTCGCAGTTATTTTTATGTTTTCAGTTGTTTTAGTCCCAAGCAACATGACATGCGAATCGCCGTTTGAGGTTCTTGGGGTCAGTCTTAGACCTCACTTTGAAAGTCCCCCAAAAGTGTCGCACCATTGCTGAAATCAAGGTGTGCATTAACAAATGAACTTGAAATGGGTAACCGTTATACGGTTTGGCACACATATATTTAGCATGCATTTAGCTGCATTTAGCTGGCATTGCCGGAGAGTGATAAATTGGGAAAGTCATGGAAAGGTTATTTGGTCAAGACTTGGCAAAAGACAAGGCTACAACAAGTAGCCGCTATCGACGCTCTCGCCTTGCAGCACATGCAACTTTCGGGGGCAAGGGGGTGGAGGTCCTTTAAGGACTAGGCCACCACTCGGTGGTTTGGTGGTTTAGTGGTGCGGCGGTGTGTGCATGTCCAGGAACGCACGAAAACAAACTTGCATGCAGCGGAGTTCCACGGACTCGAGAGTGTGTGTGTGTGTGTCCGCAATTAGACGTGGTCATAATATGGAATTAAGTCCCTTAAATTGGCATTTTTTCAAGAGCCTAATGCGGAATGGAGTTTCGGACGCGGAGTTATAATCAGCAGAAATATGATGACCTCTAGGCATGAGTACACCCCAATGAGATTTCGTGAGAAAATTATATAGCGCTGGGCTGGCCCTAGAAATTCTACAGTCGCACTAATTAATCATCAGTTAAGACCAAAACATGACGCCCAAATTATTGAAAGGGAATTAGTCCTTTAATTACAGTGGTCTTTTTGGTGGCCAGCAGAGTTTTCTTCGGTTCTCGGGTGGGGGAAAACCCGGGGCGGCGCCTCCAATTCGTTGCAGTCTCTGATTTGGTCAAAAGATTTCGTGAGTTTTCCATATAATTTTCCTGCTTGTTTTCCGTTTCTCTGCTGTGGCCAGCAACATTTATCAATAATGTCAAGAAATAAATATCCGAAATAAATTTCGGTCTTTGCCGCATGAAAAAATGGTTGGAGTGGTCCGCCAGCTCACCTGAATAATAATTAAAGGAATTTATTTTTACATATAAATATAAATATTTCCCATTTCGTCTGACGCGGTGCGGCAGGATTTGCGTAACTGGTAAAAGTACTATGGAAAATAATTGAGAAATTAAATTAAAAAACCTAAAAAATATGATTTCAATAACCTTAGAGTATTACTAGTTTGTATATAATTTTAAAATTCACAAGACAAAATAAGCAATGTAAAATCAAAAAAATCCTTTGATTTTTTAGACGGAAGTTCCCATTACAAGTAAAAGAAGTTTTATGAAACTTAAGGTAACATATAGAAACATTTTTTTTAATTACAAGAAAGACTGCAAAATGTCTCTCTCACTATTATTACAATAAAGTCCATCGTTCTTGGACCCGAAAGGAATCGTGTTCTAATTAGTTATATCCACCGATTTTTTTCGTGAATTCTTTCTGGAAAGCCTTTCCGTTCGGCCTGCGTGTGCGAAATGAATTCGCTGCGATGGAGCGCGTTTAGTTAAGGGAAAATTGTTTATGCTGTCGCAGCGATTAAAACAATCGTTTATAAGGCGATCGAGGCGGCAGATAAGGAGTACTAGAGCCGTAGAGCTTGACATTTTCCGCAATCGGAAGAGGGCCAAAAATAAGCGAAAAGAAAAGGAATTTGTGTAAGCAAATTGGGCAAGTGTTTCATGTCCAAATTGACCTCAAAGTGTTCCTTTTCGGTGTAAATTATTGACTCGGTTTGAAAAGGTCTATAGAACACATGCGAGTAGATGGCAGACAAGGCCCAAAGTTTCGCATCCGTTTCGGGCTGTTCGATATGCACCTAAATGGTGATTTGCCAAATTGGGCTGGGGGCGTGGCCCGCAACCTTTTTTATTTTTCGTTTTTGGCTGCAATTGAAAGTCGAGAGTTTAAAGCAACAAGCAACCCACTCATCTGGGCAATTCAGAAAGCGTAATTAGGGCCATGCACCGCCCAAAAGAAAAATAATCATAAACAACGGCCAGAAAGAGAAAAGAAGAATAATGGCCAAAATAACTATTTGCCTTTGACTAACCAGTTTTTGTTGTTTCTGGTGCGTGCTAATGTTACACTTTATTGTTGTGGCTGTTGCTCGAGTTGCTCGAGTCGGCTCTGCGGGCCCCAAAAAGTAGGCTATGCAATGGCAATGTGCCTCTAATGCCTTCGTCATTATTATAGTCCCCCCCCCCCACACACACACACACACACAAGACGAGGTCGCCCCTGCCAGCAGCTACAATAAAAACAACTGCACGAAGGTGAGGCAACTACAAAAATCCATCTTCGTTAACAAAACTCGCTCACGAAACAAAAACAACGAAGCAGTTACAAGTGCGTTGGAGCTTACTTACCATATAAACCGTATGCCGAATACCATATACGAGTACCGCCCAAAACTAATCCCACACCTCTATATAAAATCCAAAATCTGCCCGGAGATTCCGTTCCATCCACCTCCTTCGCAGCGGAACATTAATGTAGTGGAATACCCTTCGCCGACTCGGGGGATCTCTTAATTATGCATGCAGGTGTATGTCCTCCTGGAATCGGGTTTTATGGATGCCCTGGTATCTGTGAAATTATTTAAGCCGCGATAGTGCGGGGAAATAGTTTGCTGGCAACATGACAATTTAACGGGATTTTACATGATTTCAAATTAATGAAAAATAAATATTTTCATCAGTTTATCTATAGGTTGTTTCTCAGTTTATCATATTGCTGCCAATTTTTGTTTGCGTCAGAAGAATCGATAATAAATATTCAGCAAACTTGTATTTCTATTTTGGCAAGATTTATTATCAAAAACCAGGTCGGGCACAAATGTAAACAAATTAATTTAAACAAATGAGAGAAATTTTGTAGAGTCTTAAATACGAAAGAAACTAATTAAGACTTTCTTTCGATCACCGAAATATACGTGCATACATTGCTGTTCTTGAAAACCTGAAATTGTATTTTATTAGTCGAAACAATTAATTAAGTAAACTAAATAAAGGTCGCTAAATAACTGCATATTCTTGGTATTTAAATAAAAAACAAATTTGTCTATATCGTAGGTTATAGCAATTATTAAATAGAAATATTATATATATAGTATAATGAATACCCTAAGTATTTTGACCTATTCAATAATTTTTTTTATTTTTTATACTTTAAGTTAGGGTATCTAGGAAACTCATATGGTTTGCCTTCTAGCTGTGAAAGGGGTTCGCTTCTTGGCCTAGCAGGTTAGCGGGTTTTTGGGGGCGGTGGGTGGCTAGGTAGCTGGGGGCATGGGGCAGGTGGCGCCGGTGTGCGCGAGCGCCGAGTAGCCAGCAAGTCAGCGAGTCAGCAGCGACGTCGAACCAACTTAAGGTCCGTGTGCTCCGCGACTTCTTCACTTGCATTTCGAACGCGCAGGCGACTGGTTGGAGCCACAGTCTCAAGACCCCAAGTGAGGAGTACAAGTACCCAACCGAAACCGAATTCCCAAAGTATTGGAGATTTTTTGGAGTGACGCCTCTCGTGCGGTTTTGTTTTGCTTCGGACTTTCTGGCAGAGCGGAAACAATTTCGGTGTGAAAATTTGCATAAAATTACCCCCGCGAAATACACCGACAAAGAAACGAAAACGTTGAGGAAACCGATTTAAAGCCTTTGGGCAGTTTTCAGGCTTTCAAAGTGCGTGTGAAGCTCGTCGGGGTCCCGTGAATTTATATAACACCCGAAATCACCTTCTGCGGGGGCCAGTGGCTAACACTAAGTCTCATTCTCGACCCAAAACTCGATAAATTCCGACTCCAGGATGCAGCCCCTAAAGCGCTTCACACAATGCGGCAGCCTGACCATGCTCTTCGGCATCTTCATCATCCTCTTCGGGGTCAGTTCCACGGCACTGACCACTTTCGGCAAGACCAACAACGGACCGCCGCCCACACACGTCCCAATCGGTAAGAACCCCCAGGGGTTGGTAATAAAAACTCTAATCAAAGTCGCTAGCAAGGTCAAATGGGGTTTATTGTCCAGACTGGCTAGAAATATAAGGTTTTATTTTTAAAAACCAACCATCTACTCCAGCAATTGCTTTGGATTAAAATATATAATCTTACAAATAGCAAAAAAACTGAGCTTTTTTTTTAGAAATGAATGTGGCTATGATTATTGGGACTTATCATTGAAAAAACGAAATAATTGGAATATAAAAGGTGAAGGCTATAATAAACCATCGACTAACTTTTCAACTATTTTGAAAAACAGTAAATAAAATGTAGAGTCGTAAATATTTAAAAAGCTTATTTTCAGTCGTCCTTTGAAATTAACTTCAGTGATTATCAATTCAAAGTTTAATAGCTTTCTGTGTTACCAAACCGCAATGGTAAAGATTTCTGTGACATTACTGATAAAGCAAACATTTCCACATTCCTTAAGTTTAAGTAATTGCCAATTAATCGGTAATTAAGACACCCTTATAGTTACCCATACAAATAGATTACAAATAAAGTTTCTCTGATCCAATCATTTGTGATTCGATTGACTTTGTAGCCACCCATAAATAAATGGAATAATAATTATGGCAAAGAGCCAGCGATTGAATGACACGACAGAGGACAGAGAACACAGTACTAACACAAATCCAAATCGAGAATTGATCAAACAAGTCACTCAAGTGCAATGACAACCCACGCTCCCCAAATCCCTGACATTAGGAGTGGGCTAATGGGGGTGGTAATAGCCCTGTGATTGGAGTTGGCAAACAAGACCGGCCGAGTAGATATAGATATAGATAGGCCTACAAGCGGTGATTTGTGTTACCCGGGGACCAGGGCAATAATCACACAATTAGTGGGCAATTAGCTAAGCAAACTGACAACTAATTATCCCTTCCCCGACTTCTTTTCAGTCAAAGGACGAGAGTGCAGTGCCCACGATGATTGCACGGCGATAGATCGCACCAGCTGCGTCAAGGATCCCAATGACTACAAGTTGCGTTGCCTCTGCGGCGACGACTCGCCTCCTTCGGCGGGCAACTGTCCGGATGTCCTTAAAGGTAATATATCTGCACATATGGAGTTTTAATATTATAATATTTTTTATTCGGAAAATCACATTGAAAAGTAATAAGGTTAATAAGTTTTTTTGAATATGTAGACAGTCCTTATTTTAATATTTATTTAATCCACAAATTAATATAGAATACAATAGAAGTTTATTGAAAAATAATTTAGTTCGCTACAGATTTTAGTATTTTAGATTTTAGGATATTTCTTTTCTTCTCATAAATTAAGGTGGCTGCTTTTGTAGAATCCCTTAGCTTGAACCTAGAAATAGAACAGCTAACAAAGCGTCAACTAATTGCTAAGACATGCACATTACATTTATTATTTAAGGGGCTGCTGCCTTCTTGGAGGCCTCCTCTGTGATGTGCCCGTGCCTCAAGTGGCATGCAGGTGATGTGTCCAAGGCGCCACCTAAATGAGAATTAAACAAAGCATCCTGCCAGATGGATACTGGGTACTCTGGGTACCCACTCCCTTTCGCTATTTGCCTGCTTATTTATTTAGTTTTCGTGCGCAATTCACACTTGCTCCCAGGATCCTTGGGTCCTGTGCCCGCCATTGTTGGCCCTCTAGTCCTCTAGTCCTTACGGCATGCAGGACATTCTTTAGCTGGCCAAAAAGGACCGAAAGGCAATTGCGATGGCGGAGAGTCTCGCTTTATGGCAGCGCAATGTCGATGCCGGATTTATGTTAGGATGTCGTGACTGCGACTGGGAAACCCAAACGAGGGAAGCAAATGGTAAAGGGAATCGCCGCAGTGCCAATTTGTGACATGCACAGCCCAGAAGAAATGTTATACGCGATTTTTGCATGCATATGTCCGAAGTTTGGAGCTTGGCATTGGGAGCTGTTCTCCGTGTGGCAGATCCACTTTCTGTCAGCCAGTTTTGTAACTTTGTAGTGATTGGTTTTTCTAAAGAATAGTAAGTTTAGGACCTTTTGCCTTTACGAAAAACCGTAAAAACTTTTATAATAAATTAAAATAATATTTATATACTTACAGTCCGAAAACTGTTGGGAGTTTTTAAGGTTTATGTAGATTTCTTAAAGACAAAACTGTATCCCAAAAATTCCATTTTAAATATGGTATTTTTAGACAAATCATTGGTTTTCCCTCAAATTAAGTTTTCAGGCACTTGCATTTATTTTAGTAAATATTTGGCTTTCTATAATTTTTTGTGAATTTGTATTTTCTTTTTTATTCTTCTAGGCCTGCGTCACAAGTGCAACAGCAACAACGACTGCGAGGACGGAATGGTCTGCCAGTTCGAGAACAGCAACCGAACCATCGGGGTGGCCAAGTTCATGTCCAGCAAGACCAAACTGTGTCTCTGCGATAATGACAACGGATATGTGGAGGACATCCTTCACGACATCTGCAGTGGCGGTAAAGCCTTTGAATACCTATATTATAACAATGGCAGAAAATTTCTGGACTCTCGGCCCTGTTCCACTCCAGATTTAAATCAGCCTACACAAAATTAATTATATTTTTATTTTATTATTTTTGTGTTATTTTATTTTATAGTATTTTATGCAATTGATAAATAAATATAAATACCGCTTACACACTTTTCGTTTGTATTTTATTTAGTTTATGTTTTATTCCACTATCAGAAAGTTGTAACCCCTTTTCCCTTAACTTACAGCCAATTTCCAGGGCCTGGTCAGCTTCTTGGTCTCGATCTGTTCGCTTCTGGCGCCCTTTTTGGTATCCGCCCACATGCGAAAGCATTTCTAGAAGGCGACCGGAGGAGCTGGAAGTCGTAGCTTGGCGTTTATCTCCCCTAGTGATCCATCAAATGTGCCTCAGTGAAACCAACAGAAACAAAAAGTCATCGCCCCTTCCCCCCACTCACATATGAACAAAAGGAAAGGTAATCTTTGAAAACCAAAAAAAATAAAGAAAAGGAAATTAGGAAAGTTAGATACTCGTCGCCATTAGCCTAAAGGTCGTTCTATTGTATAAGTTTCATATGTACCACCGTCAAATTTATTCGCTTCTCACGAAAAGTTGCGTTATATACAATATACATAATTATATTATCTGATAAATGTTTTCTATAGATCCCCTATCGACCTTAGTCAGTACTCCTTACACTAGTCAACCAGAGGTAACTTTAGAACAAATGTTTGGCACCATTTTATTGTAATTTTATATGTGTGTACGTGTGTCCAAGAATAACCAGGAAAACCAAAGATATTATCTAAAGATAGGCAACTTTTCGGCAGCACTGTGAATTCAGATCGCTTACATCGCAATTACAAATGTGAAACATTTTAATTTTTGTATGTATTCAAGATAATTAGCTTTACGAGCTCACAGCCCACAATAAAAAAAAGAAATAAATAAATACAATTAAATCTAATCATACGTGAAATAATATTTGGGTTGCTGCAACATTGACCTCTTGTCTCGATTTCATCTCAAAGTTGCAGGGCCAGTTAAGTACTTCTCCCATTAAAACCGTTTTCTTCGTAGCTGTTATCTATACTATTTAATAAAAACCTTTAAAAACCAAATCCTTTGTATACAATTTTTTGGGGATTACGAAAGATCAAAGTACAACTTGGTAATTAAGCGGTATTCCTCATTGCCGGTCCAACGCGTCTCAAACATGTACTTCCCCGACGGGAATGGCAGTATTTTGGGAAGTCGGTTATTAACTATTTCAGTGGAAAACTTATCTACAATAATGGCATGCTAAAGGTGGATTAGAAAGTTAGTAAGATTATCAAGAAAATCAAATATTATCTTACATTATAGGGGCAGGAATGATTCAAGTTGCTAATACTCTTAATAAGGTCCTAGAAGTACTTAGCAATTAGATTTGACCTCTGATTTCTCACAAACTTGCAATAATCCACAGTTACATTATACAAGAAGGGCTTATATCCATTGATCAGTTGGTACAGTCCGAAGTTAAGCTGAAACGAAGCTTGATTTAGTCCTTTACTATATTGATAAAATATGCGTCTTCTTTACACACCTTTATACTATTAAGAGGAAACTTAAACACTTTCGTCTTAGCGGATACATATTTTGATGTTTGATTAATGGATTTTAAAACACAGTATTCAAAATCAATCATATCCCTATCCATTGACATGCACCTAAAGTTTGTAAACACGATTTGAGAAGAAGTCTGCAATATTATTTTAATTAGAGATAATATATTATTTTAGACTTTTCCATCAACTAACCTGATTTATCAAAGACAAAGTAAACAAAAGGCCAAGCCAATAATATTTCTGTGACTTCATTTTATTTCATGAAGATCCAAAATGAAACTAAAGTAAATTTCCAGAACATTTCAATCACCTGTTGTTATTCTGATTGTCCAGTTTAATGGTTTTCGGTTTGGTCACAATTATAGTGATAATGATAAACCATGCGTTTATTTCAATTTGTTAAATTTTTATTTATATTTTGGAAAAAATATCAACTTGCATTATTGTATTGCTTCTACATTATGAAACATAAATATAAAGCTTGGTAAGTGCGCGGTACAGTTCATTGGCGGTCCAATGCGCCTCAAACATATAATTTCCAGCTGGGAAGGGCAGAATTTTTGGAAGTCTAGAGTTTATCATATCGGAAGAGAGCTTCTCCAAAATAAAATCATGCTACGGAGGGGGATAAAATGGTAGTGAGGTGGTTTCAAAAACCAAAGACAATCTTACATTGTAGGGACATGAATGATTCGCGTTGCTGATGTCTTTAATAAACTCGTAAAAGTATTTGGCGACTGGATTGGACTTTTGGTTTTTTATAAACTTACAACCATCAAAGGTTATATTATACAAAAAGGGTCTATATCCATTGGCCAGCTGGTGAAGTCCGATATTAACCTGAAAGTTGTAATTTGTTTACGTTAATTGAGTGAGATTCTGTGTTTGATTACCACACCTTTATACTTTTAACGGGAAACTTGAACACTTTTATTTTGGCGGAGACATATTTAGATGTTCGATTAATTGATTTCAGAATACAATATTCGAAATCGACCACATCCTTATCGAAAGATGTGCATTTAAAGTTTGTAAACTCAACCAGACAACAGATCTATAAATATCTTTGAAATGTTAAATGCCATCTTAAAATATTGTTTTTGACTGACTTGATTTATTGCAAACAAACTCAGCAGAAGGACAAACCAAAAATGTTTCTCTGAATACATCTTAGTTCATAGATAGCTAAAGTGAAACTATAGTAAAATTTTCCAGTCTGCATCAATCATCTTTAATTATTATGATTATCTAGTTCAGTCAATATATGCGAATTATTGTGCTTCGGTAATGAGTGCGTTTATTTTAATTTTTTTATCCAGTCGACTGAAACATTGCACTCATGTGCTTTTTTAAAAATAACCAGAAATACCGAATTCTTTTACCGAAATCTTAACAGCAAAGTCCTGGTATTTATGATGCTTCAATTAAACGACGGAGCCAAATGAGTACTACATTTATTTCAATTTTATGTAAGACTGACATATAACTTTACCACAGCGCGGGTTATATCATATGCAATCCAATGCATCTCCATCATGTAATCCCCTTCCGGAAAGGATAGAATATTCGTAAGACGGTGGTTGACAATCTCCGTGGAAAGTTTTTCCATAACAAGATCGTGCTGTTAGAAAATACTCAAGCTATATAAGTTATAAAAATAATATCGTGATTATAAGCACACCGTAAAGGGACAGGTATGATTCATATTGGAGATGTCCTTGAAAAAGTCGTAGAAGTAGCTTGTGATTGGATTTCCCTTCTGGTTCCTCAAAAAATTACAGGCATCCACGGTTATATTATACAGGAAGGGCCTATAACCATTGAACCGCTTGTAAAGTCCAAAGTTAACCTGGAAAATCAACACTAAGTGTTATTTATAGGGTAACCTGTACGGAACTACACACCTTCACTTTGGTAACTGGAACTTTAAAGAGTTTGACCTTAGTGGAGACGTACTTATAGGTCCGATTTATCGCCTTCAGAGTGCAATACTCAAAATCGGCAAAGTCCTTATCCACAGACTTACACTTAAAGTTGGTAAACTCGGCTCGACTGGAAATCTTTAAAAAGTTCTTTATAAATATTAGAAAAAAACTTGTCGATCCACATACTGACCAGTTTCAGCACGGACAACATCATCAGTAGGCGTATATAAAAAGCGTACATCGTATCGTATCCAAAGCAAAATACTAAGGCCTAGTTGCTCACCATATTTAAAATAAAGCTATTTATTGGACACATGCAATTAGCTTTAATCGATTAGCAATTATTGCTTCTAAAATTATGATAAAATGGCTCTTAAAAAAGCTTTTTAATGAGTTAATAATAGTTTGGTTCTTTATAGTAATACATCAATCATAATTTTATAAGTTTGGTAAACAGAAACAGAAAAGTACGTGAAGACCCATTAAAAAATAATACAACTTCTACGGTTATAGCGGCCTACAAATGTATTATGCGGATATGATATCTATGTCAAATACCAAGGATAAATGGCTGGCCCCATTTAAACAACCAACTATAAATTCCATTTAACTGCATTTTCAGCGCTCCCAAACGATCAGTTATCCAACCTTAATCGATTAAATGCACGGCATTGATTTTAAATAGATTGGTGTAGATTTAATGCAGCACTAAAGTTATCAATATGTTAACAAGTTGGGTATTTTGTAATGCCAACGCCTTTCGCTGGCCCCCATTCGGTGATTACTTTCAAATTTCTCGCAGTCCAGGGGAGAAGAGAATTGGAGAAAGAGGCGAGAGAGCGGCGTGAGAAATGGGGAAACTAAGCATGAAAAGCTCACTGAGCTCACAAAGCTCGGCTCGCGGATCACAAAAACAAACAGCGCCACGCTCCCAAGCACAATTACACGATCGGTTTCCGAGAGGTGACAACTTTCGAGGGCTTTCGAAAACCCGACGACAGTTCAGTTCCGATCAAAGATCTGAAACAACAGTTACGCCTATTTACCTAACCGATTCGGCTGTGCCATCCGCCAGATTGTCGTGGAAAATCCAACGAAACTGAGATATATCGCGTGTGTGCCAATAAATTATAAACCCACCATTTATGCTTTAATTTTATGGTTGCATTTCGGCAGTGATTTGCATGCAAATTTTGGCATTCGCAAAAAAAAACCTCCGAAAGTGAATCGAAAAACTATAATAATATTAGAACGCACACAAACAATGAAGAACTGAAGGGGACAAAATTAAATTTGAGGTGTGCGACGCGCGCCAAAGTCAATGCTAAAAAAAAAAAACACATTTCCGGTGGCCACAATTCGTTTGAGCCAAATTCTATAGAGTGTAGAGAAAAAACGCAGGCCATTGGCATTCCGATTGTAATTGGGCTATTTACGCCCCCTCCAAACCGCCGACAGAGGTAAGCCCATCTGAATTTTTCCCATCTGACATCAGATAGTGACACAGAGTTATGGAGGCACCGACCTATAGAGATGACAGACGGACAGAAAAGATTGGCAATGAAAATTCCCCTGCGAAAGTTGTAAATCCCATTTTGACCTGCTTGTGCTATTTAGCGTCTCTCTTTTGGCCAACCCATTGACGCAATTTAAACGGTCGATTAACATTTATCACTAAACGATTACTAATTTGTTTATGACTCCCTCAAAGCCAACGCCATATGCTAATTGGCATTATGGGATGCCAAAAAGAGTTGCTAATTTTATGATATCCTCAATGAAGTGTCAATTAAATGAATCACTGAGCATTATTTGTGGATGGTTTTGATGTTAGCGCATCTCCCATATTTTTCAGATCGAAATAGCAGTGATCTTTCCCAGTAAAGTAACAGTTTAGCTGCATTCCAATTGTTTAAGGGCCAAGACATGCGAATGCGGCAGTGAGAATTCATCAATAGATTACGTGACTTAAACGCGAGAACGTGTTCGGAGCGGAGGTTTCCTAAATTGGGCGGTTGACTAACCCAAACATGCATTCCCATTTAGACGCTAGTTTATAGCAAGTACTCAAGAACCCTACAAAATGTTCTACTGATCCATTATAAACTTATATAAAAGTATACTTATACTGTATACATCTTGTATCTTAACACCTAACACCTTTTATTAATTTTGATTTCCAAATATTCTTGAGAGCTTCTTCTCGCTGAAAATATCATGGATGGCGGCTTGAACTGGTTTAGTTCGGTTTTAATCACCTCAGACACAAGCGTCACTTGCACATCTTAAACAAAAGATACAGAAAACTGAATGAAGCTTTGGATTTAAAAATATTTGGATGGATGGATAAAATTCCGCACAGATTCCGGTTGTGTGGTTTTCTTCGATGCGTAATCGTGGGGGAAACGCGTTTTGCATAAAAATCGCCAACTTATCAAAAACCGCGCGCCATCAAATATAAACAATCAAAGCAACCAAGTCATAAATATTCAAAACAAACAAAAGCCGGTAGCAGTTCGCAGTTCTCCCCCTGGGACCATTAAACCTGAAAACGAATGGATAGACCAAGTCTGATCGTCGTCTAATATAGATTATGAAACCCGTTTCATGGGAGTGCAAATTTAGTTTTGTTTACCATGCGATTAATCAGACATTTAATCAAAATTTAATGAAATGAGGAAATCGCAATTGTGATTTTCAGCAGGTTAAATCAGTTACTTCAGTGGAATTCGTTTGTGTACGCTTTTTTTGCACATAAATCATCTTTCCTAGAACAGAGTTCAAAGTAAATAAACTACGAGCATGATTTTGGGTAAATAAACATACCATTTTTTTACCGATTCAATTCGCACGCCTACGACATTGATTTAAACAATTGAGTCTTTCACGAAATGTGGGCTAAAAATAAATTAAATAGGTGGAGTAGCTTATTTTTAGATAATTTCCCGAGCAAAGGTCTCAAAAAGAATTAACATCTTTACTCTAAGTTACCCTATTTGTTTTCGATTTTTAATTTTATTTAACTGTAAACAATTTTCTGTTTACACGACCACGTTCCGCAGTTTTAAATAATATTTGTAGCCATCAAATAAATTAGGCAGCTCTTTAGGTTTGCAAAACAAATGACTAGTCCCTTCAATAATTTCCGCTGAACAGTGTAAGTTATCTAAGCCAAAACAAATGTGTCTGCATGTGGATCAACATGTTGTATACGTGATTTTCTTACGATAAGTTGTAGCTGTGCAAAATTCAACCGTACACACCCCCTTTTCCTCCTGGGGCCGTGCTAAATACAGCTTTTGGATATACTTGAGCCCCGAATGAAGCCAGAAACAGTCAAAAACCGAGAGCCAAACGCATTTCATTGAAATGGGCGACAGTTTGTTGTTTGAATTCGATGTGATTGTACTGCCATCGACCACGCCCCGTGCTGTTCGCTACGCCCTTTATTTTAGTGCCGAAGTCATGCGAAATATATTTCGCAATTGGCCCTGTAATTTGAGGCGGGTAAAATAAACAAACCGCTGAAAAAGGGTAGAGCAAAAACGAAAACAGCATTTGTAATTGAACAATTAATTGAACATTTGTGCTTCCTGTTTTTGGTGGGCCCATTAACTGGATTATGAAGTGATTAAAATTTAGAAAAATCAAATCTAATGCGAATATAGAATTCTCCCAAATGAAATGGAAAATGCTTGTAATTTTCAAGCCCCCCTTTGGAGTACGAATTTCTGAGGCCAAAAGGTCACCCACCTGTTGGGGTGCAAAGTTCGAGCACGTGTCAATGGCGAAATATATGTAATATTTAAGTGCGTATGAGCACACTTTAATTAAATACAATTACTTTGTTAAGGAAGTTTTAAGCTGATGGCAATTAGCACAAATCTCACAGCCAATTGACTTACACGCCCACATTTCGCTCACTTTCTAAGTGTGTGCTTAAATAGTTAAAAATAAACCGAAACCAAAACAAAACCAAACCAAACAAAGGAGAAACGCCTTTGGAGTGTATATATGGAAGACTTTCATTATGCGAGGCGCCAGCTCGTTTGACATCATCCAAAATTAGCTGGATCTCGGCAGCTGGAGAATCCCCCCAAGATCGCCGTCTTGCAACAAGATCAGATATTTGAGGTCCGAGCAAAACCAGTTACCGGCATCTTGACGTATCTACTTTGGGCAAATTATACTATTTTGCCACCTGACCGATAGTATTCAAGTCATTGGACTGCGTTTAGGAAACAAAATGCACAACAAAAAAGCCACAAAAAAAGCCCCAAACATAAAGTGGTTTGAAAACGTGTAAGGGAGGTATTTGAGATGAGTAACGACTTGAGCATACTCAGTAAAGGTTAAATTACCTGTTTTCTGCACACATTTAAATATTACTTTGTATATTGTGATTGAATATCAAGATATAATAGTGTCATAACAATTGTTTTTAAACTACCTAGTTAACATTTAAAGTGATGAAATGCCTAATAAACCCCTCCAATAGTTGATATCAAAAACATAACCGCTTGCTTCTCCGTCTCTGAACTTGGCCGGGCCATAAAGACAGTGATATTTATGGCCTTTTATCACATACAGCCCGTTTCAATTAATTTAAATAATTCCATTTGTCACAGCATCAGCTGTCTAGGAAGCTTTTTGGCATATTTGCTTAAATTTCGATGTTCATCTTGAATTTCAAGTGCAATGAATCTAAAAATGCCGTAAATTATATATTTTATAGCCATAACATTTGAGGCCTTAGAAAGTTTCGATCATTTTCCTCTGGCTTTTTATCTGATAACCTTTTACAAAATGTTATTTCAAAGAGTTGCCACATACCTTATGTCTTCGATTTCCATAGAAAAACAATTCGACCCCAAGCTGTCACTGAAAGCCGTGCATTTAAATATTTATTTACCCATGACATTTTTCGGTATCGCCTTTTGTTTGTCCATCTAAGGGTCTCCGTTTATAAAGTGTCAAGTTCATCTAGAAATATTCAGAATACTTGCAGCAACTTGCAGCATTATATTGACAGTAAGGCTTAGGAATGTGAGTTATATTTATCAGCTTTACTGACAAATGTATTTCCTCGAATGCCAACCAAATTTAGCCATTTTAAATAAATTTAAAAACGATTGTTACATCTGGGGAATTAATTCAAGTCGGCGCATTAAAAGTAAATCAATTAGCAGTGTGCAGTACTCATTGATAAAGCAATACCTCATTAATTTTACTTAAAATAATATTTATGTTGATTGCATTTAAGTAAAGGTCTTGTTCAGGCAAAAACAGGCAAAACTACTCCATTTGGGATTATCAGTTTGGGTTTCTGAATGCATGACCAAAATGCAACATTCGGTCACGCATTTAGAGAGTGACTTTGTCTGCAGCCGAGTTTTCTGGTCAAATCTGGTTTGGGTCAGATCTTAACACCTGACTCTGAGTGGAAAGAAAACCCCCGACTAGAAACTGCTTGAAGACAAAAGAAGCAGTATCTACCTGCCGCTGCAGTCAATGGAAAATTTTCTCTCCCTAAAAAAAAGTCCCGAATTTTAATAATGTACCCAGGCGGGTCCGAAAATCTGGGTAACTTTCCATTCCATTTGTTTCAAAAAATATAACCGAGGGAGAGAAATAATAAACAACAGTTCACGTGTTGACCGAATGCTCCCTGAAATGCCGAGCCAGCAAATAATTACGACTAATACGAAAAGAATTTACAACTTCCTTTCTTTGGCCGCTCAGTGAGCTAGTAAACCCGAAATTGGAAACCCAGGCAGTAAGTGCTCGAAAGAGAAAAACGAATCACGCTATGGGAACCTCAGTTTTTCGGTTAGACCCCTGAGTTTTTCACCTCGTCAGATTATCAGTTTCACAGGTGAGCCGACGTCGATCATCCCGGTTCCCAAAAAAACAACAATACAAGCCAGATTGAGACCCGAAACTGAGACCCCCGACTCGAAAATAGTTAACAAACACGACGAAGACGACGAGAACAATAATAAGCGAGACGACAACAAAGTTTTGATTTTTATAAAAGACAAGGTTCGCATCAAGTACAAAACAGTTTCGTTCGAAACGCTGCCGTGTGAAGAGCCAAGCGACCAGAACCGAGCGTTCGAACAACGAGCATCTTTCAGATATCTATCCAAATAGCCGACTTGGCACATCCGTATAATATACTTGGATAGATGCAGCCATCTATGAGTGCCACATACTATTAGATCTAGTGTCACCTGGTGTCATCCGCCGGCTAAAATAACTTTACGGGGACCCCAATTAACTTGTACTCCGTACGCAGTGTTTGTTTTGATTTGTTGCTGTTGCTGTGGAAGCCCCCATATCACTTTCATCGAAGATGAAGTCGAATCCGGCCTCGGATCACGTTTACTTCAACGATGGATTCAAGTGCTCAACGATCAGCATCAGCACCAACCTCACGGAACCGAATGGCAGT